CGGCGCCTATTACAGCAGTTTTAGTAGAATCAGAAGGATCTAGGGGAATCTTCTTAGTCTTGGCTTCGCTTTCTCCACTTTTTGAAGTCTTGGTGGCGGGCACTTCTCCTTCGCTCGCCGTGGCTGCAGCCAGTCGGATATCCTCTCGGACAGACGTCATCTCGCGGGTTTGGGCCATGTCGCAACTCTCCTTGTCGCATGTGACGGCTTGCTTGATGTCGCTCCGTAGGGATAGGACTCCTCGGGGACCGGGCATCTTCATCATCATGTAAGTGTAGTGCGGGACGGCCATGAACTTGGCTAACGCCGGGCGTCCGAGTATGGCATGATATGCTGTCTCAAAATCGGCGACTTCAAAGCTGATATTCTCTGTGCGGAAGTTTTCCCGAGTGCCAAAGGTGACCGGGAGGGTGATCTGGCCGAGTGGAGTTGCGGATAATCCTAGAATTACTCCGTGAAAAGGCGCATTGCTTGGTTTTAGCTCGGAGCGAGGGATCTGCATGTCATCCAAGGTCTTGGCGAAGAGGATATTGAGCGCACTGCCACCGTCGATGAGGGTTCTGCGAAGCTTGACATTACGGACCACTGGGTCTAGTACCAGGGGGTACCGCCCCGGGTGGACCACTCGGTCAGGATGATCCGAGCGGTCAAACTTGATTGCGATTTCTGACCATCGAAGATACTGGGGCGTGTCGGGTTGAACAGCATTGATCTCCCGTTCAGTCAACTTTTGCTTCCGTTTAGACTCATAAGCCAAGGGGCCGCCGAAGATATGGTTGAGCTCCTTGCGGTGGTCTTGAAATCCTGCCGGGGCGTCGCCGTCGTCCTTCTTCCTCGACGTGCTTTGTTCTTCGTCGGAGTTCTTCCGTGTAGTCTTGGTGTATTGATCCGCGAATTGCTTGTAGACGAAACAATCTTTGGCCACGTGGTTGGAGTTAGGATGGTGCGGGCATTGGGAGTTCATGATCTTGTCGAACGTGTTGACGCGCGAACGCTGTCGAGAAGAGTGACTGGCGGTTGCAACAAGTTCCGCAGGCTTACGCTTGCGGTCCTTATGATTGTTACTTCCACCTCCTCCCGTAGCTGGCGTACCCTTATTTGGCTTCCAACTAGGACCCGACTGCTTTGATGCGGTGACGGCGTCTTCAGCTTTGGCGTACTCGTTGGCTTTTTCAAACATAAGCTTGACTGTCCTGGGAGGTTTACGCCCGAACTTGCCGACCAATTCTTCGTGGCGAATCCCTTTGGTGAAAGCGGCGATGATAACGTCGTCGGTGATGTCGGAGATCTTATTACGTTGTTCAGAAAATCGCCGGATGTAATCTCTAAGGGATTCTCCGGACTTCTGAATAACGTTGTAGAGGTCGTATTGTGTGCCGGGACGCTCGAAGGTGCCTTGGAAGTTGGCGATGAAGTGGTCGCGTAATTCGGCCCAAGATCCGATTGTACCACGGGGCAATCCATGGAGCCAAGATCGGGCGGAATCCGCTAAAGCCACTGGTAGATAGTTCGCCATGGCCTTGCTGTCTCCTCCTGCTGCGCGGATTGCGAGACCGTAGACGGTAAGCCACGATTCTGGGTTAGTGGTACCGTCGTACTTCTCTATTCCAGTCGGCTTGAAGCCGGCTGGCCAATCCACTCGACGCAGATCGTCGGTGAAGGCTGCTACTCCGTCAAGGTCATCGTCATGGCGGTCCGGCGAATGATGATGGCCTCGAGCTGCTCGGCGCTGTATGATCGTGTCGCGAAGATCGACGGGGCGGCGACGAGGTGGTGAGCGAGGCCGTTCCACTCGGCGCTCCCCATGATGGTCGGGAGGTGAGTGAACCGCCCGTCGTGACCCCTGCTCCTGCGATTGGATCCTGCGCCGGTGATGCTGAGGCTTGGATGACGGTAGTCATGAGATCGGAAGTGGGGAACTCGGCTGCCAGTCGGCGTGTGGACGCTTTCGGAGTTAACTGGGACCGAAGCCGCAATCATGGTCTTCGTCTGGTTCAAGATGTTGACGACGTGATCAGATTGATTGAGCTCGTTTTCCTTGAGGAGGGTGTCGAGGAGGGTGATCGCGGCAACCGCATTCTGCTGAGGGGTGCGGAAAACCGGTGTCCCTTCAACATCTTGTTGGCCGATGAGATCACGCGCTCGGCGCCCTGCTTCCAAAGCTCGCTGTCGTCGATCTTCAGCCTCCTTCGCGGTCCGCTCACGCTCCTGCTGCTCACGCCGTAACCGTTCTTGTTCTTGTGCTTGACGCTCCTCCTCCAGTCGGAGACGCTCAGCCTCGCGACGTGCTTCGGTCTCCCGGGCTTGGCGTTGCTCCTCCGTCTCGTTATCGGCCATGAAGACGCCGAAGTAGAGAGGGGTGTAGTTGTCATCTAGGCTTTCGTCGAAGTCGTCGAGATCCGGTTCGTTGTAGCGAGAGCTAAACTCGTCGTACTCCACGATGTCGGTGGGGCGCGAGTCGACGGTGGGAGAGCTGTAGTAGCCGTCCAACTGATCCGTCGAAACCGTGCCGAGTGGTTGGAGGATGACGCCGACTTCCCTGAAGCTAGGCGAAATCGGTGTTGAAGCCGACTTCCGCCTAGGCCTACGGGATGAAGACGCTGTCGTGATGGAGGCGGCCGCCGAATCGTCGGGGAGCTTCATTAGGATCGGTGGGTAAGCCCCATCATCTTGATCTGGTGTCGTTGGAGAAGATGCGATCTCGCCCGAGTGGTTTGAAGCCAACTCGATTGAGATGGTCTTGAAGTAACTTTCAGCCGCGTTTGGGAGTCCAAACGGGACTGAAAGCCGGTTCTCTCCCGACTGGGCCGACACCGAGTCAAGGAGAGAGATCTTGCCGAAGTTGTTGGTGACGAAGTCGAGGCTGCCGAACCGAAACGTCTGCCCGGGTGGGAAGACGAGGTCGTCGATGCCGGAGACGGAACCCATTGCACTGATCGGCGAAAAGCTTGACGCTCCCCCTACCTGGCGCGCCAACTGTCGAAACTAGATTTCGGCAATAATAAAAGTGGGTGGCTATCAAGCTGGAAAAGTGTATGGGTTTGGAAACAAAGGATTTATACAGGTTCAGGCCTTCTTATTCAAGAAGTAATACCCTACTCCTGTCCGGGGATGAATCCGCCGAGTGTATTATTGATTGTATGATTTGGAGAAAATCAACATCTCTGCCCCTAGAGGCACCCGGACCCCCCTTATATATGGGAAGGAGTCCGTGTTACAAAAGATAATCTATATCCTAACGGAATATGCAGATACAGGTAAAATACAGTCGTAACCGACTAAGTCTCAAGGTGTTTCCTTGATGTACAAGTTAAGAAACGAACCCGAGATACAAATAAGATATTCTATATATATTCGGTATCCTATATCCAGTCCAAATATCATCGCCGTGTAGATATGGGATATCCATAATCTCCACACTTCTGCAAAGAAGGGATGTCCGAACCGAAGCTTAGCTGATCGAATCATATTTTTCAAAAAACACATGGAGTAATATTATGGCTAACTGCGTACATTGGAGGAATGGAGTAGATGCTAGCTAGTGGAACTCGTTGTGTGCTAACAAAGCCATATGAAAGGTAGCTAAAATTTTGCAACAACAGCCTTTTGTAAAAGAAATAAAGAACAATTGCACAACTATTTAATTAACTTTCTAGTCAAGTGGCGTGCATGCTTTTTGTCATCTCTATATACGTACCATAAGCCACCTTCACGTACATGATGAACAGTAAAATTGCACTGGAATTCAATCACATAAGAAAGAAAAAACGAGTGATTACAAACTCAAAGGACATAGCCATGCAATCCAGGCAATGGTGACCGGCACATTAAATTGCATTCAAGCACTATTTTTTTAATACAATGAGGTGCAAAATTTTTACATATTCGTGAAAATAAAATATATGTGATGTTGCGAAATAAACTATGATGAAAATACCTCCAATAACTCTAGTTTTTCAAAATTCAATTTCTAGCTGTGACTGATAAGCAGACGATGACAGGCACACTTGTCACTATTGCACCCCCAACTGTGCTACATATATTGACCTCTACAAACCTACGCGAAATGATCATGGTGCTTCTTCCATTAGTCAGTCCATCAGGTAAAACAGGCTAGCTCTAGCTGCTCTCGCTGCAGTGACACGAAGAAAAGCTACAGCTATAGAGAGAAGGCAATGATTAGTTAGACTTAAGGTGTGATGTTTTCTTCTCTTTCCTAGACCTTGTTTGGATCCGGAGGACTAATAATTAGCCCTTCAAAATTTTACTATTTAGAAATATTAAACGTAGATTACTGACAAAACTCATTTCATAACTTATGGGCTAATTCGCAAGACGAATCTAACGAGGTATATTAATTCATGATTAGCGAATGATTACTGTAGCATCACTGTAGTGAATCATAGATTAATTAGGCTCGTTAGATTCATCTCGCAAATCAGCCTAGGGGTTATGAAATGTGTTTTGTCAGTAATTTACGTTTAATATTCCTAAATAACAAGATTTCGGAGGGATTAGCCCTCCGGATCCAAACAAGGCCCTATCTTCTACTCTCACATTTTCTGCGTACAATTTTTTTTGAACGAAAAATAGCACTAGAGTGCCTTTTCATTGAATAGAGCAGGAGAAAATACAACCCCTAGGGGCAACAAGAAAAAATCGAGGAACTGTAGTTATACACTATACATAGTGTGGGATTAACTCGCGCAACCGCTTAGCCTCTGCTAAAGCCCAAAGGCTAGCCTCTTCTTTGATTTTTGATAGGAGGAAACTCGTTGCCACCTCTTTATGGTCAAAGATTCACCGATTTCTATTTTCTGCATACATATTTCTTAAACTGTTAGTGTGTGTTTTTTAAAAAAAAACATAAAAGAAAACATTTTATAAAACCATATTAACCTATTTTAAGCTAATACTTAATTAATCACATTAATTGTTAATTGATTGTTTCTTTTTTTGTGCGGGAAGGAATGGGTTTTAACCCTCACCTTAGAAGATAGGAGTAGCACAGAGTGTGAGTAGACGCAATAAGCCCTGCAGACGCCGCATGTACAGACTACAGCTCGAGAAGACGCACTGGAACTAGTCTCCTGCAGATATTTGGATGGGATGTAGCAGTTGCAGCGGCAGCGGCAGAAGGAGAAGTTGCTGGTAAGAAGTAGCGCGCAGCTGCTCCTGCGCGCGCATGTACAGGGCGCGAGGCGAAAGCTTGACGCGGCAACCACCACCCACCCCCCACCCCGCCCGGCTCAGACCTCGCCATCGATCGACCTGCTCGCGCTCTCTCCCTCCCTCCCTCCCCATTGATCCCATGTATGTGTATGCTTTTTGCGCCATATCCCACCTTTTTTCCGTTTCCTGCTTGCTTGCTTTCCTGACGAGATCTTTGGTTTGGTTGGTTTCTTTAAGACCCGTGCGTCCAAATCGCCATGGCTTTTCATCTTGTTTTCCTTCTTTTCCCTGCCCTCCCAGGACAAAGCAAGATTCCTGTGTTTCTGAGGCTTAGCTGAGGAAGGATTCGGCCTACCTGCTCTCTTCTCCTGCCCGGCCGATTGCTACGACTTGCAACACGCATCACCATAGTAATAGTATCGTCGTGTTCACTCTCCGACGACTTAATTGTGTGCGTGTTGTATTTCCCACCGTCTTGTCACTTCATCACACATCTGGCTACATCGATGGATCACTGGTGCTACTAGCTAGCTAGCTCGCTAGTTACTCGATTACTGGCTGAATTTTCGCTTCTGTCTCCATCTATTTTACACAAATTAAAGTGAGCTCTCCTGCGCTCTCAATTTCATTGCTGCTTATAACTTATTGTGTTTAGCTTGGTAATTAGTGATTGTTTGTGTTTGTGTTTGCTTTTGCTAGGCTTTTGGCGATCGGAGGAATTGAAACACCGATATGGCGCATGATCCGAACCTGGGGTTCGCGGATTACTTCTCGGCGGCAGATGCATCGGCGTCGTCGGTCACGACGCTGATGCCGGCGATGGACGAAGCGGCGCCGGAGCTGTTCGGGTTGCAGGCCGGGATGGAGCTTCTCGGCGTGCGCGGTCTGGGTATGAGTATGATGCCCGGCGCGGCAGGCAAGGTCGCCGCGCTGGTGGCCGACGCTGGGGACGACGGCGGCGGCGGCTCCACCATGCGCTTCCTCAGCGAGCAGCACCAACAGCCGAGCCAGGCGCCGCTGTCGCTGTCGCTGTGCCGCCCGGACGGCGTGCTGCACCTCGGCGGCGCGGCGCGGCCGCAGCACCAACTGGCGCCCGCGGCGCCATGGATGACGCACCACGACGCGTCGTCGTCGGCGCCGCAAGTGCACGGCGCGTGGCACCTGCGCAGCTCGAGGTTCCTCCTCCCGACGCAGCAGCTCCTCCAAGAATTCTGCAGCCTCCCCGTGGACAGCACCAAGCGCGGCAACGGCGCCAAGGCAGCGACGCAGCAAGAAGACGGCCGCGGCGACGGGTCGTCGTCGTCGTCGGCCTCGTGGACCCCGTCGCCGCAGATCCAGGCCATGGAAGCCCTGGAGCTGCAGAGGCTCAAGGACAAGCTCTACATCATGCTCGAAGAGGTATGAGCGATCGATCGATCGATGGAGCTAATATAATCCACTCTCTTAATCTAACAAATGGAATCTGCAGCTTTGGAAAGGAGCTAGTAGTAAAAATGGCACAGGAAAGTACTAGGAGTTCCATCAATCATGGTTGCCCGAAGGGTGCACCTGAGACTAGGGCAGGGAAGCGACCCCATTCTTGGGCCTCACCATTAGCTTTTGGAAACCTCTATTCCCCCTTGCCTCTCTTTAGCCTTAGGTATATGGTCCCCTACGTACCTAGCCGGCCGGTCAGCCATGGCTTCTGCTTGCTAGCAGCGACACCGGCCTCTACCCCTTTGCCCATACTTTCCCCCTTGCCATGCACATTCAATGCCTCGGCTAGCTAGCTCATGCCGGTTTTTGCTACTGTGCGTGCTGCGACGTTTGCAGAGTTGTGGCCTTGTAGCCATAGCTTGATACGGTACTGGGCACTGGCAGTTGTTACCGTTTCACTGTTTCATTGGCTATCTCCATCTTTACCACGTCCATACACGTACGCTTGGTGCAGTGCCCTGTACGTGTACTCCTAGCTAGACGTGCAGATAGATGGCTACAGTGAAAAATCAAGTAAAGGGTTTCTTAATTTGAGCTAATTAAATTGATCGATGAACGTGTGTATTTGTGCAGGTGGACAGGAGGTACAGGAGGTACTGCGAGCAGATGAGGGCGGTGGCCGGGGGGTTCGAGGCGGTGGCCGGGGAGAGGGCGGCGGGGGCGTACACGGCGGTGGCGGCGAGGACGATATCGAGGCACTTCCGGAGCCTGAGGGATGGGATCGTGGCGCAGCTGCAGGCGGCGAGGAAGGCGCTCGGGGAGAAGGACGTGAGCGCGGCCGGGACGACGCGGGGGCAGACGCCGCGGCTCAGGGTGATCGACCAGTGCATCAGGCACCACAAGTCGCTGCAGGGCGTCGCCGCCATGGACAGCCACCCGTGGCGCCCCCAGCGCGGCCTTCCCGACCGCGCCGTCACCATCCTCCGTGCCTGGCTCTTCGAGCACTTCCTGCACCCGTAAGTACTCCACTTTACATTGTTGTTTATACGTACATACACGTATTACGTATACATATATACACGCATGCATCAATCATCTAGCTACTTTGCATATCCATCCATGCTTGATCGATCTCCACACAATGCATTTCTTGCTTGATCGATTACACTTAAAGTAATGCAGCTGACTGATACTTAATTAGATCCCGTTCTTTTCTCCGACAAAACTTGGATGAAGATTAATATTTTCGTGGCATGCTTTTCAAACTGCTAAATGCTGTGTTTTATATGAAAAATTTTTATATAAAAGTTGCTCTAAAATATCATATTAATCTATTTTTCAAGTTTATAATAATTAAAACTTAATCAATCATACGTTAATACCACCTCGCTTTACGTAAAAAACTTAATCTTCTTTTTCAAGAGAAAAGAACACTACACAGTGTGCTACAATGTATAGCAATCTAAGTTCAACTGTTCACGTGGCAGTCACTAGTTAGTAGAATTAAGGTGACTTTTGGTTAGTGCAATCACGTACAGAACGTAAGAATGTCAGTGACTAGGTGTAATAGCCTAGTAGGGCCGGTGCAGTAATATTATCGCGCGTGACACACAATTTGCTATGGACGGTTGTTCGTAATTAGCTTTTTCGCGGTATATATATATATATATATATATATATATATATATATATATATATATATATATATAAATTTATTCTGCAGCGAGCATTGTTCTCCCGGACCACATTTGTCTTGGCATCAAATGCTCAAGTGGCCGTTTTGCCATATTGCGCCCCTGCTTAATTAAGCGTACACGTAATGTCATGTGTGTGCCTCACTATTCTTTTGCCATGCATATGGTCTAATATAATGCTCTCCTTTTTTTTTTCGACAAAAATAACGGTTAAGTACTCTCGTGACTGTGGTTTGTGCACAACGTAGGTACGTACTTACTCCCAAAACATTATAAGTAGCTAGCTATGATTAAAGTTGCGTCTGTGTCAGTGGTAATATGTTTGATTTTTTTTAAGTTTGTTTTTCCAAATTTATTATTTAGCTAGATTATACTCCCTCCGTTTCACAATGTAAGTTATTGACATCAATATAAATATGAAAAATGTTAGAATGAATTATATTATGAAACGGAGAAAGTAGTATATTTTGTGCAATCGAATTTCCTATGAACTCTCAGGTTTTGTATTAACAACTATTTATCACGTGCATTAGTTGTTGCAATGTGCTAATATATATACATCCAAACAATATATCTACGTTATTATAAGCTTGAACCATATCGATCAATGATTCAAGCACGTCTATTTTTCTCAGGTTAGCATGATTATTTTCTGATTAACATTTTTTTAATAATGGACACGATTCACATCTTGGCCCTCTACCAATTAATAAACACACGGTCAATAAGTTCTAAAATATGAATAAACAGACTCATCAAGGTTATGTGAATTTATCTGATTAGCATGATAGTAATTAGTAGGCCTGGAGAATTCATTTTCACCTTGTTTTAATAATAGATGCATGGATGGATTGTTTGTCGGAATATTATACTACTGATGACCAGTAATCGATTTAGATCTCATTATATTTGCGTGAGTTGTTGAATTTTTTTGATTCAATTCGATCAGATTCATATATGCATCGGTGTTCATATGTTCAATCCCATTCAGGTATCCAAGCGACGTGGATAAGCACATCCTGGCTCGACAGACGGGCCTCTCACGTAGCCAGGTAACATGTTCTTCGTGTATTGATGCATATATACTATTTCCCCCGTTTCTAAATATTTGACGCCGTTGATTTTTTTAATCATGTTTGACCGTTCGTCTTATTCCAAAACTTTTATAAAATATATAAAATTATATGTATACATAAAAGTATATTTAACAATGAATTAAATGATTAAAAAAGAATTAATAATTACTTAAATTTTTTGAATAAGATGAACGGTTAAACATGTTCAAAAACGTCAACGGCGTCAAATATTTAGGGACTGAGGGAGTAGTATAGCCTGAACCAAATCATCCACTAATACCCTACCATGAAATAATTAAGAGTGTTTTTATATATGGTCCTCACCGGGAGTTTCTAGTATAAAATTTGTTACTTGGATCAAATATTAATACCTTAGATATGAGGAGGTACGTAGTCGTTACCTCCTCAAATATCATAAAATTTCTAAATAATCATACAAGTTTAATTTGAGTAGCTAGTTTGTTCATTTTTGGGAATAGTACTAAATATTGCGCCCACTGATTCGATCGCCGTCTCGTAGATGATACATCAATTCATCGATCGGTTGCCATGTCAAGGTCCTACCATGTCCTCTTGTGCTTGCAAATGTTTTTTGGAAACGAATCTTGTTTAGCCATCGACCTCCCGTTACAACGACATGTGTTGTTGTTGCCCGCGCGCGTTTCTTCTGACAATTCGATCCATGGCAGGTGTCCAACTGGTTCATCAATGCGAGGGTTCGGCTGTGGAAGCCAATGGTGGAGGAGATGTACGTCGAGGAGATGAAGGGCCAGGACGGCGGCGACGGCAGCGGTGGACAGGGGAGCCTAAACCCTAAGCCTACCTGCAGCCACGCCTCCGAGGCGCGCGGCGGCCAGCAGCTGGTCGTCGGCGATGGCGACGGCGGCGAACAGAAGCCGACGAGGGCGCAGCTTCGCCACGACGCCGGGTCGCTGGCCTCCGTCGTCAACGTCGACGTCGCGGCCGGCGCGGGCGGCGTGGCCCGGCTGCACCAGGCGGAGAACTTCGGCATCATGGACCACCTCGACTTCGACGCGTACGACGACAGCCACCACCAGCAGCAGCACGGCGGGTTCGGCGGCGTGTCGCTGACGCTCGGGCTGCAGCAGCACGGCTCCCACGGCGGTGGCGGCGTGAACATCGCGTTCGGGGCGCCGGGGTCCGCGCACGGCGGCGCCGGGTTCTTGTACCCGGGCGAGCAGATGGCGCCTGACGCCATGCATCCGGGGCACGGCCACCACGTCGTCGGCGGACAGTTCGGCGTGGCCATGGACGGCGACGCCGCCTCGCACGCGCAAGAGCGGTACCGGAGCCTAAGCGCCGGCTTCCACCTGCTCCGCGACTTGGCCGGATGATCCATGCGGCGAACTACTCAGTTCATCGCACGTACGCATATATATGCATTCCGTGTACTGTACTAGCAGACGATTTGGATGTCGCAGCGGCAGCGGCCGCGGCGGTGGCGACTAGGTAGGGATCCTCGCGCGCGGCCGGCGCTGCGGCGTGCATTGGTTGGGCAACCGAATTAAGCGTTTTTGTTGGTGGTGGTCCTTGATTTTACCGACCTATAGGTACAGTTCGTATATATCTCTCGCGATCGATCGTACACCAGCAGGGGAGTAGCCCAGTAGATCGTCGTCGATGGCGCTTTCGTGTGGTTCGGAAGCGGGCAGTTTATTTTAGCCTACCGGCCCGGCATCGGTTGCCGGGGGTTGTGTGGTCGTGTGTTGTGTAGTGGAGACAGCTTTTATTTGTACTGGAAATCTGGAATTTGATTGATGGTTCAACTTAGGCCGCCGTGACTGCGCTGGAACTGGGACTGCACGCTATTTGTATGCGGCAACAGCAACAGTGCTGCGACAGGTCCGCTTCAAATAAGCCACAAACTACTCCAACCTAACTAATGATTTAACGGTGTAAGAATGACTTGTGTTTAAAAAAACAAAAAAAAGGGGCTATCTGTTTATTTAGGTTTACAATTTTCGATTCACAAGTAAGCTAGACCATAAACTGAGAGACAGATATGTCCCGTAAGCATGCTAGCCACATGACCCAAATTATCTAATTTGGATTCAGCAAAACAAATTACACCCCCTCTGATTCGTAAGAAAAATATAAAAAATTATGGATTTTATTTCTATAGAAAAATCCTAATGAGTTTTTTTTAAAACAAAAATGTTAGACACTATACTTTCACTTGAAATTCGAACGAAATAGACAATCCAAAAATTTTAAGGAAAGTTAGCAAGAGTTTTAACCTCTTGAAAAATTTTCCCTAAGTTTATTTCTCTAATTCAATTCACGTGTTCTCCCATGTAATATTCGAACGATCAATCATTCATGTATTTTCCTTGTCTTATATATGTTCTCTTTGTTTCCAATTGATTATCATATTACATGAATATGCTAAGACTAAGAAAAGTCAATAACTCTCGCACACTACATTTACTCCGGTAACAAACTCGATACATGCACCATCTCTGCTCTTAACCAATAATAAAATCACAAGACATTGCATGTTAGTCATACATAGTTATGTGTATGGATGCATGCACTAATATCTATTTACTCTCATACGCATATGACGAATAGACTTAGGAAATAGATTTAACATGGTCATAACAATCTATAAAACGTTATATGATGATTAATTGGAAATAGACAATTTTCTATTTCTCAATTGCGTTCATATTAAAATCAGGTATTTTATATACTTTTTCAAGAGTTTCAAATGAGTCCTTAAAAAATAAAGATATTCGAACATATTTCTTTAAATAGTGGGAAAAATCCAGTCCATGCATCAATTGTGGATATATAATGCAGAAAAGCATATTAGTTGTCGATATCCTTGTAAACGGTACTAGCATACGTGATTTTTCTTTTAATAAAAAGAACTGCACGGGAAATTAGTTAAGCAGCAATCCGACGGCGTAAAAATTTAGAGCGCCATCAGTTGGTCTAATAAGTAAAAGCAAAAGGTAAAATTTAATTAAATTTTCGAACTTGTATTTGAAGTTGATTTCAAGATTTTTTTTAACGTAATTCCCTTTTAGCATTAGTTTTTAAATTGCTATAAACAAATATATAAAAGTTTTACATATAAATTAATTTTTATTTTCTAATAAACCGTTTTGGCTTATCGGTGAATATGGGCTTAAATCGCTTGCACCGCCATCGCCGTGCAACTCAATAATATTCGAGTGTTGCTTGCTATAACACGGCAAAAGGCAATCATTAAGCATACTAATTACAAGACTTGAAACGTTAGTTGAGATCATAATTAACGATTTGTGTAAAACTTCGAAGATTTGGTCAGGTGGGAGGTCACTTTCATATCATCAGCAAATTTCTGTCATCACTAAGAAGAAGAGGTGTCCATCACCAAATGTGCGAGATTCTCAGCTAGGAGAGTTGGATACTACCTCCGTTTTTTAATAGATGACACCGTTGACTTTTTCTCACATGTTTAACTATTCGTCTTATTTAAAAAATTTACATAATTATAATTTATTTTGTTATGAGTTGTTTTATCACTCATAGTACTTTAAGTGTGATTTATATCTTATACATTTGCATAAAATTTTTGAATAAAACGAATGGTCAAACATGTGAGAAAAAGTCAACGGCGTCATCTATTAAAAAACGGAGGGAGTATATGGTTTGGCCGCGTACTATAGTGATTTTGCTCTTGCTAACAGCTAGCTGCGTGTCTGTGTGCGCGATTTTTTTTTCGGAAAAAAAATAAAAAACAGGATGCGGAGAACGCATGAACTTTTTTCATTTTTAAATTTTTTGTTTTAATATTTATAGAAATATTATACTGGCAAAAATGTTTACAAAAATATATCCTGCCGCACAAGTGGAGAGCGGCAAGGTGATGTGGCACACGGCGTCGTGTGCGCATTTTGCGTTGAGGTCCCTTGCCGGGTGAAATGCAATTTTCGCCGCACGCAAAATTCACATACCCGCTCAGCGGTCTCCGGCGTCTGCTCACACACGTCACCCTACCGTTCTCAAGGAGGGTTGCGTGGTCTATTTATGTAAATATTTTCGTCTGTATAATATTTCTGTAAATATTAAAAAAATAAAAATGAAAAACATTCGAGAACGCATGGGCTATTGGGCTGGGTGCTGGAGCCCATGGCCGTCAGGCCCAGAGGAGAAACCAGTGATCCTACAAACGCGACTTGATCATTGACCACTGACCATGCTATTTATGGGGTAATCAGTCCAGGTTGCAACTGGGGCCTACAATTTCTGTTCCCTATATGCTCCACAGAGCGACTCGCCCTCAAACACGTAGACTGGAACGAACGAACAGACGAACACGGTGCACTCCACTACTACGCTATTTTTGACCATGTGGCCATTAGTGATCTGTGCTCTTTTGGCCGCTCATCGATCTTGGCCACCACTGTCGTCGTCATCTCCTTTTCCAGGCCTTATTTGGCATGAAAGGAGGAGGCGGCGATCGGCATCATCACAAGGACGCCATTGTCATGCACGCCGCCGGCAAGGCGCCCAAGTGCAAGGCTTCCTTCTTCCTCTGCAGCCTCCTCCTCTACTTTCTCCTCCCGGTGCTCGCCCTGTACGTCGTTGCCCTCGCCGTGTCGCCGTTCTACTCGGGTAGCTCGTGCCCGGAGGAGAGCCTTGCCAGTGGCGACGTTGCACATCTCGCGGCCGCCGGCGATGCTGGCAACAGGCGTAACGACTCGTCGCCGCCGTCTGATGACGCCGCGCCGACCGGGCTGGGTCACATTGTGTTCGGCATTGCCGCCTCTTCGGAGCTCTGGAAGAGCCGGAGGGAGTACATCAGAACATGGTGGCGGCCGGAGCAGATGAGCGGGTTCGTGTGGCTGGACAAGCCGGTGTACGAGTTCTACTCGAGGAACGCTTCCACGGGGCTTCCCGGAATCAAGATCAGCGGGAACACGACCAAGTTCCCGTACACGCACGGCCGCGGCAGCCGGTCGGCGCTGCGGATCACCCGCATCGTGTCGGAGAGCTTCCGGCTGGGCCTCCCCGGCGCGCGGTGGTTCGTGATGGGCGACGACGACACGGTGTTCTTCCCGGACAACCTCGTGGACGTTCTGTCCCGGTACGACCACACGCAGCCGTACTACATCGGGAATCCGTCGGAGAGCCACATCCAGAACCTCATCTTCTCGTACGGCATGGCGTTCGGCGGCGGCGGGTTCGCCATCAGCCGCGCCCTGGCCGCGCAGCTGGCGCACATGCAGGACGGGTGCATCGACCGGTACCCGGCGCTCTACGGCAGCGACGACCGCATCCACGCGTGCGTGGCGGAGCTGGGCGTGCCGCTGACGCGCCACCTGGGTTTCCACCAGTGCGACCTGTGGGGCGACGTGCTGGGCCTCCTGGGCGCGCACCCGGTGGTGCCCCTGGTGACGCTGCACCACCTGGACTTCCTGCAGCCGGTGTTCCCGACGACGAGGTCGCGGACGGCGGCGCTGAGGCGGCTGTTCGAGGGGCCCGCGCGGCTGGACTCGGCTGGCGTGGCGCAGCAGTCGGTGTGCTACGACGGCGACAAGCAGTGGACGGTGTCGGTGTCGTGGGGGTTCGCGGTGGTGGTGACGCGCGGGGTGCTGTCGCCGCGGGAGATGGAGATGCCCATGCGCACGTTCCTCAACTGGTACCGCCGCGCCGACTACACGGCGTACGCCTTCAACACGCGGCCCGTGGCGCGCCAGCCGTGCCAGACGCCGCAGGTGTACTACATGCGGCAGTCCCGCCTCGACCGCCGCCGCAACACCACCGTCACCGAGTACGAGCGCCGCCGCGTCGCGCCCGTCAAGTGCGGCTGGCGCATCCCTGACCCTGCCGCGCTGCTCGACCGCGTCATCGTCCTCAAGAAGCCCGACCCCAACCTCTGGAAAAGGGTAATCAAACACACACCGTAGTTAAAACCTGAATTGATTTGTACAACAAAGAAGCTTGATTTTTGTAATGGTGCTCTCAAACCGGCGTGCGTGCAGTCTCCGAGGAGGAATTGCTGCAGGGTGTTGTCGTCACCCAGGCAAGGGAAGGACCGGAAGATGACCATCGATGTTGGCGTCTGCAGGGGCGGCGAGTTCGCCAGAATTGAGGTAGCCAGGTAGGCCACCTCCATTAACAATTTTCCGATATGGCATTATTGATCTGATCACCAGCTCGCGCGCGTTGCGTTTGGTTCGCGCAGGGAAGCTAGCTAGGATCAGTTGCTAGGACAGCAAAACGAGAGCAGAAGGCGAAAACCATCAAGCATCAAGGACGGTATCGGAGCAGGACGCGCCCACCTCGCGGCGGTGCACGGCGGATCGCTCGGTTACTGCTTGCTTCGGCTAATGATAGCTGTAACCTTAGATAATAGGTGTATGTAAGTAACCGAACTCACCTTGATACAACACTGTGCCGGCGAGAATGTGGCGCACTTGTGGGCGTTGTACAAGTACGGGCAGTGCTGCTGCGAACGGCGACAGGCTTGTTTGTTTGTGAGCCCGTCGACTGTCGAGGTGTTCAAATAATCTGGCAAACAGGTGAAGACCAGAGGCTACGAGTGTTCAAATAGCCCATGGGCAATTTTCAAAAAAAAAAAGAAAGCTCATGGGCCATGTATCAACTAACTGATGAATAAGTTCACTTTGTCGCAGAGTATGAAATTCATCGAGTTACAATGGGATATAATGGGAACCGAAATACCAGATATATTACAGATCTCTTTCGGTTTAGGGAGGAATTTCACACTCGATGACAAATTGAGGAACCTAAAGTGAACTTATTACACTAACCGAAAGGGGTGCAACCTCTGTTGGGTTCTTTTTCCGAGTCGGCCCGAGATGTCCTGACAAAATCCTACTTGGGCCGAAGTGATAGAAGCGCAAGCCCAATAGTTCCTTTCAGCCTGCTAGAGAAGCGGCATATACGACTCACAGCGTTAAATGAGCGGGGCAGAAGAGCTCACGGCTCCCATCGGATGCACTAATCAGTTAAAGAAAAAACTAAATTTCATATTTTTAAATTTAATTTTAAGATATTTATAACATAGTTTCTTTTTCAGCATTGACTTTTAATTCACCAATAACGCATATATAAAAATTTTATCTACAATTTTATTTTTATTCCTTAGTAAACCGTTTCGGTTTATTAGGGAAAAAGCTAAACGATAGCGACACAAACATCGGTCTACTACTCGCGTGGTCCGACGGTGGCGATCTGGTCGTCGGCTGCACCGGCGGCAGAGTGCGGTTTATGAGCACACGGAGTGAACACAAATCATGTTGCGAAGATAATAATGTATGCAAATTGGAAAATTATAGAGCTACAGCAAAGGGATAGCAAAGCTATCAATCAGGTTCTGGGAAGTGGCAACCTATGAAAAAAGAGAGACACAAACAAAATCGAGAAGATGGCATACCTACCATACAAGTAGAAGAACAGAGCAGAAATTTGCAATCTGCAGCATGCTTTGTTTTGAGCCGAACAAATCGGTAGTCAGTGGGCGGGGGGGCATAGGAAAATGTGATGACCCAATCAGCGTCCACTCCATTGTCCATTCCACTATTCCAGTATTCCACCACGCGCTGCCCTCCGGTCGTTGTCCCATCTTCCTCCGAGTCCACTTCCCCGTGCCCGACTCCACACACCACTCCACCGCATCGCACTCGTCCTTCCCTCTCCCTTCCAACACCACCACCCGCACCGTCCGCACACTCGTCCGCTTCCGTCTCATTCTCTCGTGGACGCGGCAGTGGCGCCACGACCACGCCTCCACTACCGCCTCAATGGCCACCGTCATCGTCATCCTCCTCCTCCTCCCGTTACTCCCGTCCACCGCCCTCGCCGCCTTCCCCTACTTCCTCGCCTGCGGCGCCGCCTCCAACGTCTCCTTCCCAGGCGACTCCCCAGCGCGCACCTTCGTCCCGGACGCTCCCTTCCTCTCGTCCGCCGGCCGTGTCCCGGCAGTGACGAGCACCGGCTCCAACACGATCCCCCCTCTCTACGCTGCCGCGCGCGCGGCCGGCTCGGGGTTCTCGTACAGCTTCGCCGACCCGGACACCGCCACGGTCAACGTGTCCCGCGTCCTCCGCCTCCATTTCTTCCCTTTCACCAGTTCCTCCTCTGTGAACCTCTCGTCCGCGAGCTTCTCCGTCTCTGTTCGCGATGCCTACACCCTACTCTCCTCCTTCTCGCCGCCGCGCGACGGCGTCGTCAAGGAGTACTTCGTCCCGGGGGACGGCTCCGGCGAGTTCCGCGTCAAGTTCACGCCGGACGCCGGCTCCACCGCATTCGTCAGCGCCATCGAGCTGTTCCCGGCTCCGCCGGAGCTGCTGTGGAGACGCCCGGTGAAGCCGGTGGGCGCCCTGGTCGACAGCGTCGACGTGAACGCGTGGCCGCAGCAGGCGCTGGAGACGGTGTACCGCCTCAACGTCGGGGGATCCAAGGTGACCGCGGCGAACGACACGCTGTGGCGGACGTGGCTCCCCGACGACCCCTACTTCTCCAGCCCCAGGGGGCTCTCGCAGGTGAACTCGACCTCGACCCCGATCATCTACGGCACGTCGATCGGGTACACGAGGGAGGTGGCGCCGGACAGCGTGTACAAGACGCAGCGCGCCATGAACATGGCGAGCCAGCAGTTGTTCCTCACTCCGGGGCCTTTCAACTTAACGTGGACCTTCGCGCTTCCGCCGCCGGCACCGGGGTCCGACTCCGACTACCTCGTCCGCCTCCACTGGTGCGACTACTCGCTGGTGAGCTCCGTTGTAGCAACGGGCATCGTCTTCGACGTCTACGTCGCGCAGAGGCTTGCTTCCAAAGACCTCGACCGAAACGCGGCGGACGCGGCGGAGCAGCCCAACGAGGCTTTTTACCTGGACTACGCGGCCACGGCCCCGACCACCGGGAACCTCACCATCAGCATCGGCAAGTCGGACAAAAGCGATGCAGGCGGCATGCTCAATGGGCTGGAGATCATGAAGCTGCGGCGCGCCGATAATTTGAACTCCGCCGGATCGCACGGCAGGAGGAAGAAGATTCTCATCGGCACGCTCTCGGCGGCGCTCGGCGTCGCTGTTCTTGCGTGCGCGCTGCTCTGCTTGCTCGCCGTGCTGCGCAGGCGTAGACAGGCGCCGACTCCGGCGCCGGAGGAGAAGGAGAGCACGCAGCTGCCGTGGTCGCAGCACACGCAGGATGGCTCCAGCTGGGTTGACATGTCGAACGCGTCGGGCGCGGGCATGACCGGCGGGCTGCACAGGATGAGCATGCAGCTCAACATCTCGCTGGCGGACATCACGGCGGCCACGGAGAACTTCAACGAGCGCAACCTCATCGGCGTCGGCGGGTTCGGGAACGTGTATAGCGGCGTGCTCCGCGACGGCACCCGCGTGGCGGTGAAGCGCGCCATGCGCGCCTCCAAGCAGGGGCTGCCGGAGTTCCAGACGGAGATCGAGGTGCTGTCCCGCATCCGGCACCGCCACCTGGTCTCCCTCATCGGCTACTGCAACGAGCAGTCGGAGATGATACTGGTGTACGAGTACATGGAGAAGGGCACGCTGAGGAGCCACCTCTACGGGTCGGAGGAGCCGCCGCTGTCGTGGAAGCAGCGGCTGGAGATCTGCATCGGCGCGGCGAGGGGCCTGCACTACCTGCACACCGGCTACTCCGAGAACATCATCCACCGCGACGTCAAGTCGACCAACATCCTCCTCGGCGACGCGTTCATCGCCAAGGTGGCCGACTTCGGGCTGTCGCGGATCGGGCCGTCGTTCGGGGAGACGCACGTGAGCACGGCGGTGAAGGGCAGCTTCGGCTACCTCGACCCGGAGTACTTCAAGACGCAGCAGCTGACGGACCGGTCCGACGTCTACTCCTTCGGCGTCGTGCTGTTCGAGGTGCTCTGCGCGCGGACGGTGATCGACCAGAGCCTTGAGCGCGACGAGATCAACCTCGCCGAGTGGGCGGTTAGCCTGCAGCAGAAAGGGGAGCTCGCCAAGATCACCGACCCGAGGATCGCCGGGCAGGTGAACGGCAACTCGCTGCGCAAGTTCGCCGAGACCGCAGAGAAGTGCCTGGCGGACTACGGCCTGGACCGGCCGTCCATGGGCGACGTGCTGTGGAACCTCGAGTACTGCCTTCAGCTGCAGGAGACGCACGTCAACAGGGACGCGTTCGAGGACAGCGGCGCCGTCGCCACGCAGTTCCCCGCCGACGTGGTCGTGCCGCGCTGGGTGCCGTCGTCCACGAGCTTCCTCATGGATGACAGCGTGACCGACTCGGGGATCGCCAACAGCAAGGCCTTCTCGCAGCTCAGCAGCGGCGATGGCCGTTGATCAATCAGCTGGTCAGTGAACCGACAGTCGGTCAGACTCAGATAGAGAAGTTTGTAACCATAATTTTTCCTCTCTTTTTTTTTATGCTGATCTATTCTCTGAATCCAAAACCCATGCACGTCGCAGCAACGATACGTCTTCAGAAATTTTGCTGAACACGAACGGAATACCGTAATCTGCAGCAAAATTGGTGTTGCAATTTTTTCTGTCCTTGCTGTCTGCATCGTGGATTCATTTCATATGTTAGCGCGTGACGAAATGACTTGACCCAGGATGAACAGATCATTTTATATGTTCAGATGAGAACAAAATCCTTTGCCTGTTCTTTCTTCCCAATTGGCCACGGGCGGCCGTTTTATAGTACAAACAACAATTCTCTGCAGGACCTTGACAGAGACTTGTGTACAGTTGAGTTGTATTGTACTCCTACGCATGTCTGGCGTCACCCTGATGAGGCCAAATTCTCGTTACCGTGTTCCGCCTAACTCTTTGATTATAATGATGATTATAATGATTATCTTGTTAGTGGAAGATTCATTAATGGGATCATTCCTAAACTACTGGCTTTAGAGCATAATAATATATGGTTCACACGATTGCTGACCTAGAAAAGCCGCCGTCCCGCCAAGGCCATTAGAGAAACCAAAAATAAAAGGAACTTTTTTTTTTCCAAATTCGATCTCGCCGAAGCTTTTGCATACTACGATGATCATGACATACACGAATTGTGTGGTTAGAACTCAGCCAAACTGGGACGTGCATAGCTGCAATGCACGCATTCTTCAGAATCCCCCTGATTGTCTCCCTTCTGCTTTGACTGGAAGGACGGCACGCATGCATGCGCCCAGGAAGAGTAATAACCAGGTAAAGCCAAATTCTTTGGGCTATTTCCTTTTCGTTTAATTATCAGGTGCTGACCGCTGACCGTGCCGTCGTAATCACACTGCCCTGCTGACTAATCTAAACCATTTTTTTTATCTATTATCCTTTGACTGTTTAATTTTGACTACAATTCCAAGTTGCAACCAGAAATCACTACTGCCCTATTCAGGTGGCAACCGATATGTCCACGGCGAAAGAGACAGCCCAAACTGCAAGGCAAAAGGCTATGGTACTTGGGCCAAAACGTGTACAGATGCTCTCCCCTCCGCAAGCCCAACCAAATCCACGGCCCAAACGAAAAAGATAAAAGCCCACGCTGATCAGAGCATTAAAATACCTAAACCAACCGGCACGGCCACGACGCGTGGGCCCCACCATCCAGCGAGTCCTCGGCTCGTCGCACGCGACGCGGTGAATTGATTGATCGACCGATTCCTCCCCAACTCCGCTCGCCAATCCACAGCTGGCCTCCATTTCTTCCTCCTCCCCTTCGCCGAATCCCCCACACCAATCCGCCATGGCTAGTGTTCTCGCCGTCCCCCTCCTGCTGTGCCTGCTCGCCTCCGCCTCCGCCGCCCGCTTCGCCCCGGCGGACAACCACCTCCTCGCCTGCGGCGCGACGGCACCGGCCGTGCTCCCCGACGGCCGACGCTTCGTCCCCGACTCCGGCTGCGCCTCCACGCGCCTCCGCTCCCCGGCACCTACCCTCCCGTCCGCGGCCTCCAGCGCGGCCCCGCAGCCGACCCCTCTCCACGCCGCCGCGCGGGTCTTCTCCTGCCGCGCGTCCTACGACCTCGCCGTCCGCCGCCGCGGGTACCACGTCCTGCGCCTCCACTTCTACCCCTTCGAGCCCGCGCTCGCGTCCGCGCGCTTCCACGTCGGCGCCGCCGGATTCCTCCTCCTCCACAACTTCTCCGCGTCGGCCCCCGTCGTGAAGGAGTTCATCCTACCCGTCCACTCCGACGTCCTCGTCCTCACCTTCGTCCCCGAGTCGGGCTCTAACGCCTTCGTCAACGCCATCGAGCTCGTCTCGGCCCCCGATGAGCTCGTCGGCGACATCGGCACCCTCGTCACGAGCAGCGGCACTGACCAGACCAATGGATTGTCGTCTCAGGTCTATGAGATGCTCTATCGGATCAACGTCGCCGGCCGCAAGGTCACACCGTTCAACGACACGCTGTGGCGAACATGGGTCAACGACGAGCGCTTCCTCGTCAGCACGGAATCATCCAACAGCGGGGTCTGGTCGTTCGGTGGCCGGATTGCTTATCCCAAGGGTAGCAGATTGATGACACGGGAGGTTGCTCCTGACAACGTGTACAACTCGGCGAGGTCAGTGAGCTCACAGGGCAAAGTGACATGGGGATTTCCCGTGCCTGCTTCCAGCAGGTACCTAGTGCGTATGCACTTCTGTGACATCGTGAGCAAGGCTCTAAATGAGCTTTACTTTGATATCTATGTCAATGGTCAGCTAGCAGTAAAGGATTTCGATATCTCTGGTGCCACTGGATTCTTAGCCTATCCATATTACATCGACTTTGTTGTGGATGTTGAGGATGAAGGGGCCCTGAAATTGGCCATTGGTGGCTCGAAGAATAGCCGATCAGACGAAGTGAGCGGTATTCTTAATGCTGTAGAGATAATGAGGATGAACAAAACAAATGGTGGTATTGATGGGGATTTTGCAGTTTCTCTGGGCATGGAGTATGTGGCTAGCAAGGGGATCGGAGAATTTACTCGCTCACTGCTGTGTGGTTTCATTTTTGCGGGATTGTTGTTGGTTTTGTTAATGCTTGTGGTGAGGTTGAGGACTGAGCTGAGGAATAATGGTACAACTTGGTCTTGGCAGCCAAATGATTCTGGTGACGGGAAGCTGGCTAGAGCATATCAACTTGTGTCCGCTAAGACAGACTATTGAACATCATGAGATGATAATCTTTGAGGAGCTTTAAACTGTGGCTGTTGACCTATTGTATGTAATGACATATTGCATTACTTCAGTTGTAAGTATTGTAGTTTTACACTTTTACTCCCTTAATGGTAAGTTTTCGGTTATTTGAGCTTGGCTAATGGAGAAAACGGTCGTGGTGTTGTATCTGGCTCAAGATATTTGTTTGTATTAGTACTGCTTTTAATAGCTCTATCCAGTTTGTGATGCTTGAATGAATATGCCTGCAATTTATCTAGTTTATTTATGCTTTTGTAGTACTGGTTATTGTTATATGCCATTACTATAATTCATATTCTTGATATGAAGATAGCGGCTAAATCATGGCAAATAGAATCTACCTTCCAATGTTAGTGTTATTTACTATTCTTTATTCTACTTGGTAAGGCAAGGGGGAAGCTCTTGTAGAAAGCCAATTAAGAAGTAGTAGTATTTCCCTTGGTTCTACTTTTTTTTTCTTTTTGAAAAAAGAAACTTCAGTTACAGTTTTGGCTGCCCTGGCATCCTACTTTGGCCCTCATGGCCTCATCGCTAAGAGCTTTTGGTAATCTGGGCTAGCTGTAACAATTAAGTGTCTGCAGATCATCTTTGTTTGACTGCTGAGAACTTGTAAATAACATGCTAAAATTTGACATAATCACACAAATTTCTTAAACTTGGTTGATTCAATCCAGATTATTTTCTGGAGTTCAGACATACCGAGGGATAATACTGCTTTGGTCCTTTCAGATCCCAACTTCTACAGAATCTTTGCTTTGCTTATCTATTTGTATACGTGACATGTCTTCAATCTTACATGTGCAATTGTTTGGATTTTGGAATTAGACTCCACCGAAGTTTAGGGATATATGTTTACCTTTCTGTTATAAGTTCTAACATATCTTCTTTTCTTAGGAACCTGCCATGATTCAACAATTATCATCCTTTGATACTTAATAGCTTTTATTTCCGCCTCTACATCTATATTTCTTTTGAAAAAAAATGCAAAGAAGATGCCTTCCTGAGAACTTTGCCATCCTACTCTGCCTGTTGATGTCTTTTCTGGTGTGTTTGTGTAGTACAGGAGTAAGTACTATCATTCATCTATCCAAACACTAGCATCTTCCTCTGTTAGAGCGCCAAATGAAATATTAGTATCAGCAGAGGAAAATCTACCATATGCCCCTATCCAAATATCCAATGATGTTATTGTGATCTTTTTTCTGATGATTGTTTGTGCCCTCATTTTTTTGGGGGCTACTGTTGTTATTGTGCGGGTGGGATTGCTTCAGTCCTATACTGTTACTGTGCAAAAAAAACATCTTAGGGAATAGTTAATTCTTGTTGGGTTTGTATGACTAATTGTCTTATATTAGTTCTGATGCCAACCACAAAGAACCTAAAACGCTGTAACACTCATAGGTCCCAATTTCCCTATTTGAACAGGTTTTGGTGGTTGATGTGACAACTGTATTGGTGGTACTTTCTAATATCATCACTAGTCATTGTACTTCAAAATTTAATTGGAATCTATCATTTTGTGGCTGGCTTTTATTGTGAATTTGCTTTCACGGTACTGTATAGTGTATTAAACACGTCGTGTGCTTTTCTAAACTCCTTGTTCCTGAAAATTATTCTGATCAATAGTGATGTGGTATCTCTGGATCTAGCAGTTTCCCTCATTTTCCTGATTCTCTTTCAATCGAAATGTAGTTTTTCTATCAGTTTTTAGTGTATTTTAAAAGGACTATGTTTTGAATTATTTTTCATACCCCAAATTTAGCAGCATTCGTTCCCTTGTTAAAATCTCCAGAACCTTCTGAAGAATCTGTTACTGCATCATTGAAATGCATGCTGAGCATCTTCTGTTGGGTTGCTCTCATCTTTGAACCAAATTAATGAGGATTGTAGAATCATCTACTTATTTTAGGCCCCTCAATGTAAATTGGATCGGCCCATCTAAATATGAATGGCCTGACATACCTAACTGGCCCAACACATTATGCCTCATTTGGCATGGTTCTTGTACTAGAAGACTACTAGGCTGTGATAGTGTTTCACATGCCATAGTTTGAAGAAAGAATAACTTAGGGAAGAGATTTTTCATGTTAAATACTCTGCCATATGGCGGCACTGCATGATAGTTGGTGCATGTGTCTCTTACGAGTCGATTGAACTGAGCCCATATAACCATGTTGCAGAAACATTATATCCAAGTATTATTTTGCATAGTACCTTATAGAAAGGAAAGACAGTATTAACAATCTTGTAGTCTTCTCTCGGTTTTTATGGTTTGGTTAATATTGTTTTTTTCTACTAATGTTGTAGTAGCTGTTATGCATAGCCATAAGTCTTCGAAAGTTAATAAATGTCATTTGACTTGGCTTTATAAGCTACTAGGCCAGAATATGACCGGCACTGCTTATTTCAAGAAAAACGTGCAAAGCAAACTGCACTTGCATGTCCCTTAGGAATGTGTAGTTGTACCAGCTAACAACCGTTTGACAAGGCATACTGATTGATTAGTGCTTGATGTCATCTGAAATCTTATCTTTTGAAAACTAAATGGAAGCTGGAGAAACTGTGACACCATTAGATTACCATTGTCAAAAACCTCTGGATTCAACTATTTTTTTTTTCAAAATGGAAGCTGGAGAAACTGTGACACCATTTGATTACCATTGTCAAACACCTCTGGTTTCACTATGAAATTCATCAAACCATCAAGCTCTTTCTGTTACCTGCCAGTGCCCTGCCCCTTCTTAGGGTGCTCTGATTTCATTTGCACCTGTCAGGTATCTATAGAGAGATTTATTTGGTGGAAAGTAATTTGACTAGAATTTCTGTTTCGTATAATATGATCTCTCTCTGTCCAATACCTCAACCATTTAACTTACAATGTCAAGAATTTGATTTCCCACTTAATTACTAAACCGCATGCTCTTTATTCTGTGCAGCTCTATATTAAGTGTTTAATTTCTTAAATTTGGGGATACTATGTTCATGATGTTTCAATATTAAAAAAAGGCATCTTGGCATCATTCAATGTATATATGCATTTATCTGGGCCCTATGTATTCCCAAAATTATGAAGTAAAGTGCTTTGAGTAAAGGGTGGGCATATCACAACTCATAGAAAGCTATAATCTAGTGGGGGCAAACTGTACTCCAATGTTCCACAAAAGGATTACCAGAAGATGTTGCATTAAAAGGTATGGTCGGCTCATGCTGGTGCCTAGTTCCTCTGCCTAACCTGATGTTTTTAGTGTTGGAATCAAGATCTGTAGTAAAACCTTAAATCCAGTGTAGGGCACAGCCACACAACCGCTGGTCTGCTATCGCCACTCTTTATTTTTACCACTTGTGTCCAATATTTGCTGCTATCGCCACTCTTTATTTTTACCACTTGTGTCCAATATTTGCGAAGTTGTTCCACCTTTGCATCTGGATCTTTGCTGTTCATGTGACGGTTGCATGTTATGAGCCTCACATTTTTTTTGGCTGATGGTCTCGTACAAAAGCTCTCTACTATGCTGGAGCACAAAATGGAATTATCCTTAATCATTCTACACTTTCGTCTTTGTTAGATGCTCTTGTGCAGAAAGTGCTTTTCAAAATTCAATGAAAATGCCTCTTTTTCTGCAAATAAGAGAGCGAGAATAAAACCTTTGATATCACCCTTTTTCTATCTGTAATCACTATGCCCGACCATTAGTAAAAAAGAGGTTGTTCTGCTCAAAAGTTTTGATCGATTCTCTTTCACCTGCAGCTGAGGTTCTTTTTTCTAGTGGGCGTGGCCCATGGAATGCCTCAACTTTGATCTTTATAACAGCTTAGATGCTTAACAGCGACAAATCCTTTGCGTCAGGCAAAATAAAACCAGCATACCAATTTGCGTACTAATACAGTAAACGTCAAGCAATGTACATGTACAGCTTCAGGACGCCACATGTAAGTATGCATCGATGCATTGTCAACTCATTTTTATCCGTGTAGATCACATTTATTTTATCCGTTTACTTTTGTATTAGCACACATCAGCTCTCCCTCTGTCTCTCATCTGCTGATGTCTTTCTGAAGACTATTTATATAGGAAGCTTTCTGAATGCTGTAGTTTTCATTTTCTGTGTTCTTTTTTTCTAATTGTCCAGAACATGCATGGTACATCTCTCTCGTCTATGACAGCAAAAAAATGAAATAAAATCATATACGTATATCTATCTATATGAAGTGCTTGCATTTTAACCTTGATTAATAATAACGCTGTCTAGGATTTGCACCATGTTTTGCTGACAACAATATTGAACCTGTTGCTCGCAGCAAAACCGAACCAAGGCAGCAGCACACGAGTGGAACCTGAGCCTAGGGCGGAGAGAATTAGTATGTCCGAATGTCGTTACTGCCGTCCTGTTGATTGTTTACAGAGACAATTGTCCCATGTTTAAGGGTCTCAGAACTTGTTTTGCCAGGACCAGGTTCTTGATCCTTGAACTGTATTTTAATTATTGCCCTTGATATCCAAGCCTGCTTCCCCAGCTGCATGACAAGCGTCCTGTTCCATGATTTGAATATTGCAGACTGATCCATGTTGCCTGGCTTCATTTAAGATTGGACAATGTGACACGATGATAGCATAACCGATGCTTCATTAGCAGCATCTTATGGAGATTTGACAACGTGAGGACCACATTCCTTGGCTTGGATTTAGCTTAGCTTAGCTCTTTCTCCCAGGATTAAATATTCAAAGATCATTTTACTGATTTCATGTGCCATTTCTTGAGCTGGCAGCTGGAATTTCGCAGGGTGACATGACCAGAGGCCTGGATGGAAGGACGCCCGTGCGGCAGCGTTGTCGCAGGTTTTTTTGTCAGGATTATCCCAACCACCCAACTAATCCCGTCATGTGTTACTCTGAGTTTTCTCTTAGCAGCATAATTTTGTCTTTGACGATCCATCTGGGCATTATTTAGGATGTTTAGTCCTAAAGAAAAGCTTAGTTTGACGGCCAGTATGTTGAGGTGTTTGTCATTTTCTTTGTAACGAAATGACTACTTTCTCCGTCTCACATTGACACATTATAATACTATTAATCTTTGTCTCACAATAAGTTAAATTTTATACTAAATATAGCATATCATAGTAATTATGAACATGAATTCATTACTACGATGATGTATCACATGCAGTATTAGATTAATTCATTGAGAAACAGGAGTACCTACCGTTTACCCTTGGTTGCTCTTAGCTTAATTTGGTGGCCTTGCTTTTTCCAGGGAAGAAATGCTCCATTGCTAGCTCCCTCCATCGCTTTTTAGCTGTTACCACTACTGCTACTTTAAAACCTACTCCCACAACTGAAGATAACTGAAAGTCACAAAGAAATCTTGCTTAAATGTCTAGTTTTTGTCGACAAATATGTATACAGTGAACCCAATCATTACAGCATGTCAAATGACTCGAATTACTCCATGTTTATCATAGCGATGAGTAGGGAAAAAATGGATTGTCTAAAGGTCAGTCTAGCATGTTCTTTTTAAGAATTAAAACTTATAGATCTACTTGTATGAATAAAATAAATAATATATACTATTAAGCGAGCAAATTATTTGAAAAAAAAAATCTAAGCAAGGCTGACTAAGAAAGTTTCCGAAGGAATTGCAGTTTTAGAAGCATGTCACGAATAATTCAATTAATAGTTCGAGGTTGTAAGCTAAAAGTTGGGACCTTAAGATTTTCTAAAGTAATTTGCTATACACCTGAATTATCTCCTCTCTCTTTATTACTGAACTAGCATGGTGGCCCGTGCAGATTGCGCGGCTAGCATCATTATATTTTCTCTCATATAATAGCATATATGTTTTCTTATTATATTATTCAAATATATTAAAATGACATCATAATTTTAAATTTTGCAATAACTTTACGAAACTACAAATGTATAATATTCATATTGTATTTTATATACGTGTTAGTTATTAATTATTTTTAATATCAAATTTTAGTTATTTGTAAGTTATATATATTCCTGTATAGACTCTAGACTCATCTTTTCATATTTCTTTTTTTAATTCTGAATTTTCTGTAAATTGTATTTCTATATAGACTCTAGGCACTTCTTCTAATATTATTTATTTTTATTTCTGAATTTTTATTATTTCTAATTGTATTTCTATGTGGACTCTAAACTCATCTTTCAATATTCTTTAATTTTTAATTTCGAATTTCAGTTACTTGTATTCCTATATTGACTTTAAACTCTTTTTCCCATGTTTTTTCTTAATTTTGAATTTTAGTTATTTGTAAATTGTATTTTTATACGGACTCAAAACTCTACTTTTAATTTTATTATGTTTATTCTGAATTTTAGTTAGTTTTAAATTCCTATATGGACTCTATACTCTACTTCTAATATTCCTCATTTTTTAATCCCGAATTTCTATTTTTTTCTTAATTGTATTTCTATATGGACTCTATACTCTACTTCTAATATTCCTTATTTTTAATTCCGAATTTATATTATTTCCTAATTGTATTTCTATATGGATTCTATACTCTACTTCTAATATTCCTTATTTTAAATTCTGAATTTCAGTTATTTCCTAATTGTATTTCTATATGGACTCTAGTCTCCTCTTCTAATATTTCTTATTTTTTAATTCCGAATTTTAACTATTTCTAAATTGTATTTCTATATGGACTCTAGTCTTCTCTTCTAATATTACTTATTTTTTAATTCCGAATTTCAGCTATTTTTAAATTGTATTTCTATATAGACTCTGCTTTTTCTTTTTCTCCGATTAATGTGAGAATTTCCAGGCTATGAGAGCGAACGTCTAATATTCCTTATTTTTAATCCTGAATTTCTATTTTTTTCTTAATTGTATTTCTATATGGACTCTATACTCTACTTCTAATATTCCTTATTTTTAATTCCGAATTTATATTATTTCCTAATTGTATTTCTATATGGATTCTATACTCTACTTCTAATATTCCTTATTTTAAATTCCGAATTTCAGTTATTTCCTAATTGTATTTCTATATGGACTCTAGTCTCCTCTTCTAATATTTCTTATTTTTTAATTCCGAATTTTAACTATTTTTAAATTGTATTTCTATATGGACTCTAGTCTTCTCTTCTAATATTCCTTATTTTTTAATTCCGAATTTCAGCTATTTTTAAATTGTATTTCTATATGGACTCTGCCTTTTCTATTCCTTTAATAATATAATAGATTTTTCTTCCTACCATCCTCCTCAATGGTGTAGTATCCGGTGCCAGTAAGACCCGCCGTACCATGCCACCCATTCCTCCTCACAACCTCGGCGATGCTAGTCGCCTCCTTCTTTCTTGACTCCGATGACCCCGCGTCGTCACCTCCCATTGCCTCCTAACTACTCTATGAGGCTTGATGAACCACTTTGCCCCCTTATACTCCTCCATCTATAGTTACCCTCACGCCAACGCTACTGTCCTCCTTCGATGGCTCCTATTATCGGATCTGATGTCACCTTTTATTGTTTCCTAATCACTCAAATGATAAGGCTTTTCCTACCGTCATTCTTGCCCGTGACTGAGGCAGAACCACCATCTCCTCCTTGCATTGTCATGTCCGCTAACCCACCGTTGGGTCACTACTGCCTCGGTCATCCTAGGAACACCTCCCACCCTCTTCTGCCATCCTGACCCTGAAACCTAACCAATCGGAGACTAGCTAAAGTTCATTAGAGATGAAGACAACACACAAATCTCAGAGAAAAATTGCGATGTTATGAATTCAGTGATATTGCCCACAAAAATGTCAAAGTGATGTCTAACAAAATCGCTTTCTAAAAAACTAAAATGTCATACCTCTTGGCTTCGATGACGTCACTGCTGCCAATAAGGAGAAGATGCGCTCCTAATTCGTGCTCCACAACATCTGACGGCCACAAAATTGACTGGTTAGCAACTACTCCCTCTGTTTCACAATGTAAGTCATTCTAGCATTTGCCACATTCATATTGGTGTTAATGAATCTAGACATATATATCTATCTAGATTCATTAACATTAATATGAATGTGTGAAATGCTCGAATGACTTACATTGTGAAACGGAGGAAGTAATTAGCAGCCCGTCAGGAAAAAAAAACAACATTCTATTAAAAATTTCAAGAGAAAAAGAACAGAGTTTTGCAATGAGAGAAAAGAGACACTGCAGGGGCAACATGGACATTGCACCGAACGGTCCAAGGCCAAGGAGAGGAGACGACCCCCTATATCTGCGCCGTGCCATGCCGTGTAGTCCCTTGCCTGCTCAGCACGCTGCACTGCACTCCAAACCACACAGCCTCCTCGTCTCGTCTTCTGTCTCGCGCGCGCACGCCACTCGCTGGGAGCTCATGGAGGTCGGCTCGCTGCAGCACCTCGGCGACAGCTTCTCCTACCGGTGGCTCAAGCACGCGGCGCAGGCGCCGTCGTTCAAGCGCCTCGTCGACGACGATGTCGGCGGAAGCTCCAGGTACTTCATCGACATGGACCCCGCCGACCTCTTCTCCATGCGGTGGACGGCTCCGGGCACCGACTTCGACTTCGACTTCGACCTGCCCGGCGGCGACGACGATGCCGCCTCTCCGATCCCGCTGCTGGTCAGCGCGAGCCAGATCTTCCACGATGGCCGTCTACTTCCCCACGAGCTCGACGACGACGGCCGCTTCGGTGCCCAAGAAGACGGCGATGCCGCTCGCGTCGCGCACTTGCTGAGCGAGCCCCGGCTCTCGGCCTCGTCGCCGCTGTTCCACTCAGCGCAGAGCACGCCGGCCTCGCTGAGCTCGTCGTCCAGCGCGAGGAGCGGCGCCAGCAAGAACGCCAGCGCGCCGCCGCTGCTCGCCGCGGGGAGGCGTGGCGGCGGGTCATCGCCGTGGAAGATACTGCTCAGGTACCTGCGGTTCCTCATGCCGCTCTACCGGAAGGTCAGGGCGCTGCCGCCGCTGCGTGCTCCGAGGACGAGGGTCTCGCCGGCGAGCCCCGCGAGCGCGAGAGCAAGGGCGTCCACGTCCAGCATCGACTGGTGCCACGGCATTGCCGACACGGCCGTCCATGACGCCATCCTCTACTGCAAGAAATCCAGTGTAAGTGCACCGAAACCATCAAACACAATCAAGCAAGCATCCATGCACATTCACACAGATGTTGATTAGCATTTAATGGCAGTTCTTGCTCAAATAGTTTCTTGTCATATTTCTTTCAGGGACAAAATATATAGCCAGGAACAAAGGATTCACAATCTGCAAGAGCATGAGCTGATCTTGTGGCCTCTCAACTCAAGATCCTCTCGTTTTTTCCACCATTATTTTTGTTGTACATCCACATAAGTTATACACTGTATATGCATGTGACAAGCTGCATGAGGAGTACGTTTAACGGTTGTAAACAGCTCGTTTAGGGTGTAATAGATGGCTCCCTTTCTTGTCTTTCTCGTTTGTCTTTGGCCATGTGAATCAATTGAGCATTTCTGACCATTCCTGTTATTAATTAAGTGAACTAACAAGAAATTCATAAGTTAGATTAAAGCATCTAGATCATTTGTTGGCTCAATCATGTGCCTTTTCCGAGCATAATCGTGTCCCTACTCTAACATAATCCGCGGGAGTATTATTGTACTAGATCTCAGCAAAGAAATCCTGGTAATACTATACTGCTGATCTGGTACTCATTTAGCACGTTCTGTTAACTTGACGCTCCAGTGGTGCCTATTTTGAAATTCATTTGTAACAATTCGATCCCCATGAATTGAATTATCCTTTCCATCATATCGATGTGAAAGTTCAAAAACATCACTTTTATGAGTTTTTTTTTCTCCGTGTGGAAAGTGCAAATTTTTAGTGAAAATCATCCTGACTACTCAGTTGTAATTTTGTGATTTTTAGTCAGAACTTTGTTCAATTTTAGCACAAATTTAAAATTCAAAACTTGCAGGCTGCTTTAAAATTAATTTTCTAAGTAGGCCTTCCAATCTTCTACTTGAAATTAGTTGCTTCAAAATCTCCCTTAGAATTTGCAGTTTAATTTTGAAGTCTTGAAATTCGTGGTTTCAAGTTAATTAATTTCAAAATATTGAAAAGGCAAAATCCTAACATAGTTAATTGTTGCGCGCTATCATGTTTGAACCCGCAAAACTTCGTCATAATAAACTGTGTGTTGCAGATAGGATTAGACATATAAAAATTGCAACGATTTAGACAGTTAGTACCTTGTAATGCCTCCATGTCCGTATCCTTGTTTACCAAGCTCGAATTTGACCAGCAACAATAATATATAACTAGAGTCATAAATTGTTCGAAGCAAAATCAATTGAGGTCCCGTACACACGGCAACCAGACCAACAAATATCTCCAAATATAAAGCCTAAATGCGCCATTAGGATGGGCCATTACGTCGTCGATGAATATATGATTAGTACCATCAGTCGATCGATTGGGCAGGAGTTGTTCGTTTTTCCCACCAACCCAAGAGAAACAGAAATGTTCAACACAATTGTTAATTTAAATTCATGCACGCTGTCCTTGTCCAATTACACGAGAATGTCTCAAAAAAGAGACTCTGTATACAAGCCAGCGTCAGCAACAACATGCATGATCTCTGCAAGAAAGCAACTCTAAATTAGGGCAGTAACAGTATCATAGACTTAAAAAAAATGCTTGCTTTGAACGACAACGCAGGTAAAATATATATTCATGAACAGGGATATTGTTTCTTAAATTAAGAAACAGGATGCAAGAAGAAGTAAACGAAAGGAACCCCCAATATAATGCAAACTGATTTAATTATGAACGCAGCAATATGCAAATTGGATTGCGACGCGTGATTCGTACAGGCTAAATGATTAAACAAGCACGCCCAATTGCACGCCAAAATATAGCAGAATCATTTGTTTCCCGATGGATCAGCATAGCTAGCTAGACACGCACACCTGAATTGACTGGCTAAACCCAGAATCAGTGAGTGCAGAGCCGTTTGGTGCATCAGCGTGAATGCACGGTTGCAGCAGGCGTACCAAAGCCACGCAGTCGCACACGTACACGCCATGGGCGTTCCAGGCGATGCCGTGTATATGCAGATATATCTGTATACGCACGTAGATACGTCAAACTCCAGTGGATTTATCGTCTCAAAATGGTCGTATCGATCGCGTTTTAAAATTTAAACGTAGCGGTCCATGCGATAAGATGAGCACCGTACATGGATACGAATCGGCCGGGACCAGTACCAGTTAGCAGATAATTAACGTGCTCGCAGAGTTGTCGTATTGCCGCAACAGATGATAGTACTAGTTTTCGAGGCAGAACGTACACAGACCGGACCGGTTCACATCCATTACCACATAATAATAGTATCATTACAGTTATTAACATGTGAGATAATAGAAGGATGAGATTCATGTATCAGTAACTATAATGATAGTGATATTATGATAGAGGCTGTGTTTAGTTCCACTGGTAAAAAAAAATTGTCGGGTCTAACATCAGGTATACGGATACGGATACACATTTGAAGTATTAAACGTAGACTAATAACAAAATAAATTACATAATCCGCATGTAAACTGCGAGACAAATTTATTAAGCTTAATTAATTCGTCATTAGCAAATGTTTACTGTAGCATCACATTGTCAGATCATGGCGTAATTAGACTTAAAAGATTCCTCTAGCAATTTACACGTAAATTGTGTAATTAGTTAATAAAACAGCCTACGCGAGCTGGTTCGCTCAGCTGCGTTTGGAACAGCAGCCAACGAGCGGTCGAGCAGAGTAAGGCCGAAATGAGTAGTAGTTTTTGTCACGAGGCGGGCGGAAGAGAGGCGAGACGTGCGCGAGCAGCGGGGCGGCAAGGGGAATGAGCTGGGCCTACGTGCACGGGAGTTGGGTGTTCGGGGCGGGACCAGGTGGTGCACGCGTGGATGGGAGCGTGAGGGGGGGTCCGGGTGATGAGGGGGATCGATCGGCTGGCTCGACCGATCGAGGGGATCCGCACTGCACTAGCACCTGCCTGCCCTGCCCGATCGATCAGCGATTCGGTGCCCACCGCGGATGTACTACGTACGTACATTGCCCTTGTCGCAAGCTACCTAGCGTTGCCTCGTTAACAGCAGGCAGACGGTGGACGTTTGGAAGCCCACGAACAGCGGCAGCTCATCAGCCGATCAACGCGAGGAAGCTCAAAGCTTGACGTACGACGGCGTCATCGTACTGCCACACTTGGTTAACGGTTTCTGATGACTTCCAGTCATAAGCCTACCACATCTGCTCCAAAATAAGTTAACCTCGTATGGAATATGACTATGTCTAAATTTATAGTATTACAATGAGAGAGACTAGAGAATGAAATCTCATTAGGATGGGATACTTTAAGTGACTTTTTCCTGATACCTGATACCCGAGTACCGGCTGGTACCTGGTACCCTGGTATCGAGCTGGTACCTAGATATCAGACCTTGGTACCTGGGTACCAGGCATCATACCCAGAGAGAGAGCGAACAAGACACCACCGTCGGCCGCCTGGTACCTGGGCATCTTGACTTCGCTTGAGGCAGAGAGACGTCGCCGCAGCACGTGGCGGCACGGCACCTGGACCACACCTTCGAGAAGCTCGCGTCGGCGCACCTCCCGCTCATGGCGGCGTCGCCCACCGAGCCACTCACGCTCCCCTGCCTCGCCCACCGCCTCCCGCTCAGGCTCCACCGACGAGGCGCACTCCACTTCCTTCGCCTCTTCCCTCGCGTGTTTGACCTCCGCGCCCTGCTCCCGCTCTCCCTCTCGCTCACCGCGCCCACCGCTGAGCTCCTCGCTGTCGCCACCTTCGCCGCCTACCCTACGGCAGCGGCGGCGGCGGCGGCGGCCGGCTCCGGTGAGCGGTGGGGCAACGACGAAGGGGAGGGCTGCACCTCGGGTGCCATCTGATTTAGGGAAGGAGAGTGAGGTAGGAGGAGGGGATCCGGATTAGTACCCCGTCTTCATGGGATACCGATGTATAGATTTTCTCTATTACAATGTATCATATCCCGTACAAGATTAGTTTATTTGGTTCGGATGGAGTATAAGAGAAGAAAGCCAAAATAAAAACTGTCTTTGTCACCATGCAACGAACTACTCGATCTGCCTGATCAAAACCGTCACAGCTCCCGGCCCAAATAGTAAGGCGAAGCAATACGCTACGGCCTACGGTAGCGATCAGCTAGTAGCAACGCGAGAGAATGTAAGTATGTAACGCGTAGAGACGGATCGATCGCTCTCGTGCCGGTCGGTCGCGGGCTCGCGGCCGGTGCGCGCTAGTTCACGTCAATCCCACGTGAATGCCATGAGCGGCAAGGGGGTAAGCGGACAAGCGAGCTATCAGAGGCCCTCGCGTCGCGCTACCCGCCGCTCCGGTTGCGGGGGGCTGTAGCTGCACGGGACAACGCCGGCTTTAATGCGCGCCTTGGCGCTGCCCGCGTCCGTCGCTCTCCCGGCCGGCTGGGATCCTGACTCCTTTGCACTGCTTTTCTTTATCTGGACGAGCCAAAACCTGTGGTTTCCTAACGTTTTCAGATTGATTGAGATTTGGAGGTTTGGCATGATGGATTGTGTTTGGCAGCGTTTCGTATCGCTTGAAATCTACTACGTACACGGTACACGGCCCGTCCTTCTGGAACAAACATGGGAAGATGGTTCAGCCCGGGCCATTCTCCTCGCGGAGAAATCGAAACATTAGGAGTTGGGCCGTGAGCCCATCTGCCCATGGCAGATCAAGTAAGTGGTGGCCTGTCATGATCTCTTCCAGGTTAGGAATAAGTCTACTTTGCTTTTCTTAACTAGGGGTCGAATCTGATTTGTATTCCTAAACCATAATACCAGATATTTTGACACCCTCGACTATTAAAACCAGTGCAATTTAACTCTCTCGGCGGTTTCGGAGGATAATTTTACTGACATGGCGTCCCAGTCATCAAATAAATTTTTTAAAATGTGGGGCCCCCTTGACATCTCATCCCTCTAATAACCTCTCTCTCTCTCCTTTTTTCTTCTTGGCGCACGGTGGCTGACGGCACAGGCGGCGAGACAACGACAGGGAGCGGCAACGGCGGCATCTGGCGGCGAGGACGTTGCGGTGGGGACGACGTGTGAAGCCCGAGGGTTCTCGGCTCCTTCCATCCCAGAGGCAATGACATCCATGTGGCAAGGGCCCGACGGAGGGGGTGCCAACTGCGGCTGTTATAGTGGTGGGCGCACAGGGTGGGCTGCCCGATGGCAGTAGTCCAGGGTGACGAGGAGGGCCCCGTCCCCCTGATGGCGGTGGTATGGGGAAACGGATGTCGCTGGCACCGAGGAAGCGGTGGCTTGTCGTCAGGGCTGGATCCAGGGCATCGCTGTGCCTAAGGCGAGGTCAAGGCGGGATATGGATGGTGGCGTGTTGGCGATGACTTGGGGGCTCGAAGGATGGTGCCGGCAGCGGGCATGGCCACCCTCTAGTGGTGGCGTTGGGGGTGCTCCCCAGTCAACAATGGAGTCATGGGTGGCGGTGACACAACGGGGTTGGCGTGGCCTGGCCGGCGAATGTGTCGAGGAGCTGGAGATATCCCCGCGCCCCTCTCCCTCATTCTGTTGTTGCCTGCCGTCTCGCTCCTCGTCCACCGAGTGGCCCTTCATGCACGGAGCAAAGGGGGATGAGAGCGGGGGAAGATAGCGTCAGCACCGGCCTCGTCGACTGCGTCTCCGCCGATGCGAGCTTGCCTTCGCTCCGCGTGTGAAACAACAAAAGAAAGAAAAACAGGGAGATAAGGATGGTTTCTGACGTGCGGACCCCACATTTTTTCCCTCTTATCACTTGTCGGTCATATGTTTATTTTTTAATTTATTTGATGACTGGACTGCCACGTGGACGTCACGTCGGTGAAAACCACTCTTAAAACAGTTGAGAGAGCTAAATTGAGCTAGTTTTCATAGTTAAGGGGTAAAGATATCTAGTATTACGGTTGAGGGATATGAATCATATTGAAAGTATATTTTGAGAGAGTACAAGTGGACTTAATCCTCCAGGTTATGGTTGCGTTCGGCTGCACTAGTTGTGAATGGCTGCAGCTAGCAGCCGGTGTGAACTCTGAACAGAGCCTATGCCCATCGCCTACTTTTTGAAGTTATCTCGATCAGGGGCCCCGGGCAACTTGTACACGCCAGCCGAAACTGTCAGCAGGCACCTGGCCAGCTAGGCGGCAGCGTATCATCGTCAGCACCCGGTCTATCACCAAACAATCAGCGCCGAACCGACTATACACACGTAGTACTAGTAATTGAATCGGTACAATGAACTCGTACTCACGAATCCCCTTAATTGGTCAATGCTCGGAACACCAAGCACAAGTCAATCCATTGCACATGCAGGTAGCAGGTGTTGACACCTCTTGACACAGCACATCTGCCGTCCTGCCTCCAGCTCAAGTGGCCAAGTTCCCCAGAACAAACCAAAACCTTGTGACCACAAGCTCACAGCTTTTATTGTCATCTCACAGTCTCACAGACCATCTAGAACGCTGCTCAAAAAATCAAAATCAGGGGTTAAATCCAAAGGCTCCATCCAAAACCCAGTCACAATGCAGAGCTAGAGATTAAGCGAGTCTAATGCAATCATAATCCGTTTTAATTAAGCTCCTCTCTTCAGAGCAAAAGGTGCCAATAGTTTGACATCATATCGATCCTATTCCTGAGAGCCGCCGTCGGCGTCGAGACATAAAAATCACAAATGGATCGTGGAGCATGTGCTTGCCGCAGGCAATGATGAAGGATCAGCATTCTCCTCAGAACAGAAACAACGGCAGCACAATACAAGCATACTACCTTCCAGGGAACGAAGCCGCCGGGATGGAGGCGAGCAAGTAAAGCTTCAGGGAGCCGCACAGCTAAGCCTAGTGTGAACAATAATCCGGCACTAAGCATAGCATCAATTTAATACAAATCGGCAGAAAAGCAGTGTGAGTGTGTGAGGCTTTGAGCTACCACCACTGTGATTAGCACGAGCTCAAAAGATGATATTATTCCCATCCAACGAATATTTGGTCCGAGTTTAATAGTGGCACACTCCAACTAAACAACTGAAACCACTATCACAACTTGCAGTAGCAGTATAAATAGGGCACTGGTCAGCAACGCATGCTCGTCAGACAGCCCAAAAGCTGAGAGAGAGCACGCATCCAAAGTTCCAAACTAGTCTGCAGCTGCTGTTCGTGTGCATATCCAGTGAGTGAAGTGCAGGAAGATGACCAACCATGGCGCCACCTCCGCTGCTCCGTGCAGAGATGGTCACGGATCAGCAGCAAGCAGGAGACACATGCCCAGGCGTGGGCAGATCAAGGCGAGGATTGTGTCGGCAGCCGTGCACTCAGTCGCCTCGGTGCTCTTGAAAGCCCTCCACAGCAGCCACATCCTGGTCAGAAACCCCTTCTGATGGAGCTATCAGCTAGTATACCGAAATTAGGCGAGTTACCTGTTCGGCTGTACCTGGAATCAGCTGGTTTTCAAGTGTAAGCATGGTTCAGAAAGTGATAGCCTAGATGGATGTACTCATGTACATTTCTTTCTCCCTCCCTCGTTTCGCATCTTGTTTGTACACTAGTTTTGTTATTATCAATCACACAGTGTGGTTAAAGATTAAGCAAGCTCTTGCTACTCCGACCCGATTGCCTTTCTCTGCTACCAATTCCGCCTGATGATGGTGAGGGACGCGAACCGCCGCACCGGCGTTGCCTTCCTCTTGCGCTGCCGGTGGAGAGAATGGCCGCCTCAGCCTTCAGTTTCGAGAATTGCCTTCGCGGCCTCACGGGCGGCGGAGAACGGGGATGTCGCAGACTCGTCGGGGGACGGCGCGTGTCCGCATCTCCCAAACTCGCATGTAGAACGGCGGGAACGAGCTCTCTCGGTATGCACAACACTGCAGCAACTCCGCACGCCGGGGATGTCTGTGTTGTAGGCTCGTAGTCGTAGCCATCCACCACGGGGATTTAGATCCACTGCAGTCGACTGATCATCGGCCTCACATATCAGGCACGATACAATTTGCTGCAGAGGATCCTGAATTTCTGATCACCGCCACGGCGCCACATCGTCCAACAAGAGTAGCAGGGCCGCGCCACAAGGCTGCAGAAGAAGGGGGACGAACGGGAACGACGGGACGTACTAGTAAAAGTCAGTAACGGAAGGCGGCGGTAGGAGAGGGGGTTTCTCGTTTAGACCCGTCTGGTAAGTCGTACTGGATTGCTTGGGTGTGCCACATTTAGTGGGCTTTCTGAAACAAACACCGGGTTGCAATTACGGCCCATGTAATGGAGCCTACACTATTCATCCTCCTCTTCCTTTTTTTTATATAACTCCTCTGTCCTCGGCTCAAAGATCAGAATGTAGACAATCTCAATCACAATTACACCCATTTTCCCCACCGTTTCGAAGGCATCCCATGCTCCAATTCATGATGGCCTGGGTCATCCGTGCCAAACCTATGACTTCATGCCAAACAAGCTTTCGGTATTCGTTACAAGTCACTACTCTTCTTCATCCAAAAAATATAATTAAAAAAATCATCTAAACACCTGTAAGCAAAATAAAATTATTTTTAAGAGCTTGTTCACTTTGTTGTCAAATCAATTTTATCAAAATTTATTATGTTTTAATGCTACCATTTTTTGGTACCGTTGGATATGTTCAATTTGATGTCTTCTAAAATTTTATAATGTTTTTTCGAGATAAAATTTTTGAAACTTCTCAATTTTGTTAGGATAGTATTGGCAAGATCATTTTAAATTTGTTACCATACTATAAATTTAGTACATTCAAAGTGAACAATGTCTAACTCCATAGACATGTGGGCCATATTCTCTCTCCCCAAGAGTCAGCTTCTATGCTTAATGCCCAATACTTTTATTAGGACTGCTAAAAAGATGTCTATAATGTATAGAAAATTCACACTGTGGATGCTCTTATAATAAATACTCACTAGTAAGGATGCATTTATCATGTGTTTGGTCATAGGGATATGATGGGTTGGGTTGGAGAAAACTAGTTCTTTAAAGTGTTTGGATCAGGGATAGGTGAGATGAGATGATCATGATTCCTGAAAAGTAATATTTCCTTCAAATAAAAGGCTCCATCCCTTAAATAAAAGGACGGATCAATCTAACTCACTTTCTCTCTTATTGGCATCCGGGACACACCCTCCAAACCCTTAAAAATAGTACCATTCCAACCCTTGTGGCAAACATATACTCCCAATCAAACACAAGCCATCAGGCCCGCCAGTCCGCAACGGCATCATGGATGGACATAAGATCGAGGAAGAAGCAACCACGAGGAAAAGAAAACGAAGGATTCGCCACCCACGCTAGCAATTTTCTTCTGTCAATTCCTTTCACCATTTTCAGGCTGAATTTTGTCAGGCTTCCAGCCCAATTAATTAATTAGGAGTAGGATATGGTCAGATTTTTCTTCTGGCAATTCATGCCTGCTCGTGGATCAGACCGTACAATTTACGAGTACTTCACTGTTTCCTTTCTAGAGATGTTGTGTTTGGTCAGATTTTTCTTCTGGCAATCATGCCTTATCCAAACAGAGAATGGCAAGATATCATCTCACACAAAGAAAGCAACCAGCCATTAGTCCACAGTGGCACAGTACGTGTTGCCTTGCACTCTTCACCTTCATCACGCCCTGCGGCTCAAGATTCGCATGCTCGTGTTGTATTCACCTTGCAAGGCAAAACACATCACGAGTTGCACAGCAAACCTTCGCTTGGACAGAACGAGTCCACAGCCTTAACCGCCATGCAATGCACCACCTCAAATGGCAATGGGCATTGGCAGAAAGCGAGATGTCTCGGCCGGTTAAAAGCTCCATGGACGCAGCACACGCAAGCAGTTATTGCCACGTCTATTGGCTCGGCAAGTTTGGCATAGCAGGCAGAAAGCAATCAATAAATAGCACGCATTTACTGGGGGGTTAACATAGGCAGGGATTGATACAGGACACACCCGTAATATCCTCCACCGGTCTAGGCACTTTCTGTATCTATATATACGTAAGCACGTCCTGATTCTTGTTGCATTTCTCGTCCTGATTTGCGTCCTGCAGCTCTCTCTCATCACAGTTTCGCAATGGCCAAAAAAACAATACTGCAGGTAAGTAACGCTCTCCGTCTCCGTCCAATCCGATCAATTTTCGTGGCGTCTTAGGATTATTATTTTCTTATAGAATCAAGAAAGGGAATTTTGGTTGGTTGGTTGGTTGCAGGTGGTTTGCGCGGTGGCGCTGGTGGCGCTGTGCGCGTGCGGCGTCGCGGCGTCACCGTCGTCGCCGGCGGGAGCGGGGTGCCGGAAGCACGTCGCGAGGATCACGGAGTACGGCGGCGTCGGGGACGGGAGGAGGTCCAACACGGCGGCGTTCGCCAAGGCGGTGGCGGACCTGTCGCTGCGCGCCGGCGACGGCGGCGCGGCGCTGGTGGTGCCGAAGGGGAAGTGGCTGACGGGGCCCTTCAACCTCACCAGCCACTTCACCCTCTTCCTCGACCACGGCGCCGAGATCCTCGCGTCTCAGGTGATCTGAGCCACCAACAACATCGGTTGCATGCATCAACCCCCTCTCTTATTACCATTTACCATGATTAACTGCGCCATTATCTCTATCTCTATCTCGGCTGGTGTTTCGCCGCGAAAGTAGCGCATGTTAAATGTCCGGTTCCTACTACTAGCTCTAATTCACCTATAGCTAATCTAATAACCAATTTATATGATAGTCATGTCATACACACATTGTATCTTGGAGTCGAGTCCGTGCTGCAGCTGACTACATATCTGTAGCTCACTGCTTTTCTCTCTCATCTTTTATCTCATTAAAATATATTGTAGCTAGCTAATAGTCTGCTATTTTTCTCTCTCATCTTTTATCTCATTAAAATATATTGTAGCTAGCTAATAGTCTGCTATTGTCCCTTCTCTTACCGTCACACTTGTGACCAAACAGTCACACGCGACCGCCCTAAAGTTGGCGGGTACTAGCTACTTCCGTTTTATTGGCGTAGATGATGCTTTTTGCCAGGGAAAAACGCCTTTTTTGGTCTGGGGTCCCATATCTGTCCTCCCAGGCTCCCATCTGTTCTTGATGGAATCTCAAACTGGCAAACTGTTAATACGAACATTAACATGCTAAATGCCACGGTTACATGCTGTATTTTTTTTTTGTCGTAATCAACCTTATCTGATTGTCGCTCTCAAGAAATGGGAGGACAACGTATTAAGGCGGCGCTTAAATATGTGCCAAGAGCTGTATGTTGGGAGCTTGAACCCGGTGATGTGTCATTGCAATTGCGGTGGTTGCCTATTGTAAGGATGAGCTGGTGGCTATTGAATACATGTAAATGAACCGGTTTTGATCAGATAGCTGATTAATTAGTTTGGACCATTGAAGGTCAATCGATGTTAATGTGATCCGTTTCAGTTGCTAACCGTGCCGTACTGAGAGAAAGAGAATGGATTGGGAGTGTTAGGACAAAAGCTCTGCCATGTCATTTCAGAAATTTCTACTGTTATATGGTTGCTCCACTTTTATGCTTTGAATTTTGTCAGCACATAACTTGTGGACCTGCTACTCTTATCTGTTTTTGTTCACCCGTTTTCAGTTACTAGTGTAACTGGTTCATCTCTCATTATCTGAAGTGTTGACAGTCTAAGCTGTTCATTTCGTTCTTCAGAACTTGGAAGATTGGCCTCTGATAGCTCCTCTGCCATCCTACGGAAGAGGAAGGGACGAACCAGGCCCAAGATACAGCAATTTCATTGCTGGATCCAATCTCACAGATGTCATCATCACTGGTACACGAATGAATGCGTGATGAAGATTGCTATTTTCTCAACCTTTTCGTGTAACTGCTGTGATTGTGGTATATGTTTAGCTGTGGATATCTGAAATTGAGCAACATTTCAGGTAGGAATGGAACGATCAACGGCCAGGGCCAAGTCTGGTGGGACAAGTTCCACGCCAAGGAACTCACCTACACTCGCGGTTACCTGCTCGAGCTCCTCTACTCTAACAATATCATCATCTCTAATGTCACCTTCGTCGACTCGCCGTCATGGAATCTCCATCCCACCTACTGCACGTAAGAATCATCAGTACTCGCAACCAGAATTCAGTTTCTGAACGGTTAGATATAGATCATGATGCTCACCTTCTTTGTGTTCCGTGCTGCGCCAGCAATGTGACCATCAGCGGCATCACCATTCTAGCACCTCTCAACTCGCCCAACACCGATGGAATCGACCCAGGTATAAACATACAAGTCACACTGCACTTGATCAATGCTGCCATGAGGAAAGCATTGGTTTGTGCTAGATGTGATGAGCTCTTGTTGTCCATGGTGCAGATTCTTCCTCCCATGTCAAGATCGAGGACAGCTACATCGTGTCCGGCGACGACTGCATCGCCGTGAAGAGCGGCTGGGACCAGTACGGCATCAAGTTCAACATGCCGAGCCAGCACATCCTCATCAGGAGGCTCACCTGCATCTCCCCGACGAGCGCCATGATCGCGCTCGGCAGCGAGATGTCCGGCGGCATCCGCGACGTGCGCGCCGTGGACAACGTCGCCATCGACACCGAGTCGGCCGTCAGGATCAAGTCCGGCGTGGGGCGCGGCGGCTACGTCAAGGACGTGTTCGTCCGCGGCCTCAGCCTCCACACCATGAAGTGGGTGTTCTGGATGACCGGCAACTACGGCCAGCACCCGGACAACTCCTCCGACCCCAACGCTCTGCCGGAGGTCACCGGCATCAACTACAGCGACGTGTTCGCGGAGAACGTCACCATGGCCGGCAGGATGGAGGGGATTCCCAACGACCCCTACACTGGCATCTGCATGTCCAACGTCACCGCGCAGCTCGCGCCGGACGCCAAGAAGCTGCAATGGAACTGCACCGATGTCAAGGGTGTCGCCTCCGACGTCTCGCCGGTGCCGTGCCCGGAGCTCGGGGCGGCGGGCAAGCCATGCGCCTTCCCTGAAGAAGAGCTCGTCATCGGTCCGCCTGAATTGCCAACGTGTAGCTACTGAAATACTGATATAGGATGATAGTATGGTGTGGGTAATGGCCTGGGCTATGAGATGCTTGGGACCAAAGAGATATATATGATGTGGTTTAGTGAGTAAAGTTAAGCAGTTTGAAAATGCTGCCGGATAATCTCTTTACACCCAATTCATTTATGAGTGCTCATCTGCGAATGACCTGACCAAAGCAAAGCCTTTTCATTTTGTCTTCTGACAGTAAATACAGCACGTGACAAGATAACAAAATCATCAAACTTCTAAACGAAACTTTGCAAAAACAATGACAATTGACAAAGTGAGAAGCAAAGCTCAACGTGCCTAGGCAGCGGTTTGCAATCACCGTCTTCCCCTGCCCTTGCTCATGAAGTGGTGGCGCTTCAACCTCTTCTTCCGGATCACCACGGAGGACTTGATGTGCTCCGCGAACGGCATGCCAAGGAGGGTGAGCAGCCTGAGAGCCTCGTTGTCGGTCTTCGCGGTGGTGACGATGCAGACGTCCATTCCATTCTTCTTCCCACCGACCTCGTACGGGATCTCCGGGAACACGCCCTGATCACGAAGGCCTATGGTGAAGTTGCCATGGCCATCAAAGCTGTTGGGGTTGACACCAAGGAAGTCCATGGTCCTAGGAAGCCCAAGGTTGATGAGCCTATCCAGGAAGTTGAACATTACCTGCAGCAAGCCAAAATAAGCTCATCGATCAAACATATTCCCTAGGTTCCCAAATACTTGTCACTGGATACTATTCATATTTGAACTTTGATCACTTATATTTTTTAGAAAATAAAATGCATATACCTAAAAATATGCCATATTATTAAAGGTTGTTACTCCACATAGATAGGTATTAAACTTTCGTTCGTCCAACCATTTAAAATTTGTGGTCAATGTAAAATACTGACGGCCAACGGTGACAATAATTTGGAACTGGATGGAGTAATTGCAATTCTCACACATACTTTAGGCTATTATACTGTCATGCAAATCCCAAATTGATACAACATTGCAGTCCCCAATTTGTCAATGTCTGCATCGCAAGTAGCCAGAGGTACAGAGGACTCACCCTGCCGCGGAGCGTAACGGCAATACCAATGGTGTTCCCCTCGCGGATCTTGAAACTGGCGACGGACTTCTTGGCCTTCGTCTTGACGGGCCACTGGCCGGTGATCATGGCGAGGTCCTTCATGGCGGATTCGAGCCCCTTGGAGTTACCGGCTTCAGCCCCCAACCCGCAATTCACTACAATCTTCTCAACCTTGGGCACCTGAATAAAATCGAGAATCCAAAACACACTCCTCTAAGCTCAATTATTGAACAACAATCGAATTTCCCGAGTTCCGCAAAGAAATGGCCATGTCTATCCTATAATTGCGAGAAGGGAGACAGAGGTCGAACACCTGGTGGACATTGGTGTAGCCGAACTCCTCGGTGATGAGGGGGACCACCTTCTGGTCGTATACAGCCTTGAGGCGGTGCACCTTCTGTGCCTCGGTGGGGTCGACGAGGACGATGCCCGAAGGCGAGGTCGGCGGCGGCGCCGGCTTGGGTGGCGCGTCGGCCGCGGCGGAGGCGGCGACGCGGAGGGCTCGGCGAGGAGGCGGGGAGCGGAGGAGGAGGCGGACGTTACGGGAGGAGGAGGCGGTGGTGGTGACGGGGAAGGGGGCCGGCGAGGACGGCAGGGTCACAGCCGTGGCCGCCATTGGAGCGTGCGCGGAGACGGAGGTGGGAGCTGAGGAGGGAGCTTTATGCCATGGATGGATTACGGGATAAGGCGAGTTGGCTGTGGCTGGCTGCCGTTGCTGTCCAGTGTCGCAGGTGGGCTTTCTCGTCATGGTTCGGCCCATCGAACTGTTCGACATGGTTTCAGGCCTTAGGCCCATCAAAACCGTTGATTTGGGCCTTAGGCCCATCAAAACCGTTGAGTTGGGGGTGAACTAAACACGGCCTAAGAGAAGGGTAAAGTTACATGAGTCAACAACTGCAAGTCTGCAGTGTGTGAATTTCGATATATGCCTTGTTTTGGTCAACCGGTAACAGTGTTTGAGTATGTGGCCCATTCTGTATTTTCTAATGCACTACAGGACATCACTAGTATAGTAGTAGTATGCCATTAAACGATGACTTCAAACATAAAAAACGCCGATGAAGAGCTTAAACAAGATCAAGCAAACTCTGAACCTAGCAACAGTTGCTGGCAGATCAGCAGGAGATCTGCCACGCTTGATCAACATTGAAAAATGGACGGAATATCACGACGAGGATCCTCGTCACATGCTTATGCCTAACTAATCATGCAGTAACCGTAACATGCAGTTCTTTATAACCAGGGGACAATCACTAGGATCTGATTTGAAAGGTCCCAGATCACAACATTGCGCTTGCCCTACCTTGTTCTACCAAGGACCAGCAATGCCACGACCGTGATCCTGTGAGGATCGACTTGACACCAAGAGTAGAAACACAACGGACAATATCTTCCTTGTCAGTTTGCAACCTAATCCTGATAAACTACATTAACCTCCTTGACCTCAAGAAGTAACTGTCAGTCTGTGACCTTGTCACTTGTCAGGGCCTTAATGAACAGCCATTCAGCAGTATGGAGGAACCGCCTAGTGTGCATAAGCTTCATTAATTCTTCTTCACGGTCAAAAAGTAATCAGCCATGCATCACTTTCATATTTACATCCGGCACATCTCGTGAACAAGAGATACAGAATGTCGGCAAATAAAGAATATAAAAGAAAGTACACATTTTATCAGTGAACACCTCACTGTCAGCAGCACGACTCAACCAGACTAATAAATTCAGAATGGTACTGATTAATATATATCATTACCAGCAGTACTAGCAAAAGCATCAGCCATTCAGCCCCAGCACATCATTTCTAATACCTGTGTGCTCCACCGTCCAAATGAGCTTCCAAATATCTATCTAAATTATTCTTCTATTAACAGGACAGAAAAGCATATTACAAGGCTACAATTGCCACTGAAGCAAAAACTAATAAGAGATGACAGCAAATAAAAAGAAAAAAATGTGTGATAAGTAGCTCTCATTGGATCGCATCTAAGGTCTCTTTCCTCTTAATCCTCCTCTTGATCTCCTTCTCCAGCTCCTCAATCCCACCCACCTCCTCCAGCTCCTGTCAACCACATAAAACAGAGACATTTTAGAACATTTCAGACAATTTTTCCGACGATCACAAATATTTGTAATACATCTTAGAACATTTCAAAATTTCCAGTCCTTTTATATCAACACAGTTCAAATTCTACATTAGCTTCCCAATCACAAATTCATGCTTGCAATAAAGGAGTACTGCAAGTATGCAAACTACTCGACAAATGGACACCGTTGGAGCAGGAGTAAGCCAACAAGCATCCATGGTAGCATGGGGCACGAGGAAGCAAAGCATGAATAGCATGAGACACATCTCCTCACCTTGGGACCAAGGAACAGCCCATATGGCACACCTTCGAACTTGTCCATGTGATGTATCTGCAAGAATGAATGGCAGGCAAGGATGGATCAGCTCACATAAATTCAGAACCACGGCAAGAGAAGCTCAGAGACAGGGATGCGTGGTCGGCTGCAGTTAGGTGGAGAGCGACCGGGCCGGACCTGGTGGGCGGCGGCGACCCGCCGGAAGTAGGGCACGTTGGCGATGGGCCCCACCGGGAAGCGGCGGTGGACCAGGCCGTCGTGGACGAACATGTACGCCATCCCGAACAGCGTGATCCCGAGTCCCTGCGGCGAACGGACACGTCAGCACTTGGATCATCTCTGCCCAGAGCCCCAGATCACAAAAATTCAACCTTGGCAATCAAATTGAACAAAAAGAAACGCTGCTAGCGCTTGTATTTTACTTGTTCCGGTGAGACCGTTGATGGGTACCTCGCATGGGTGACCATGGCGCCGTCGCAATGCGACAACAATACCTATTGCTTTAGTACAATCTACGTTATAGGGGGAACTATTTAATCATTCGAGGGATGTTCTCTCATTTGCTTACAGAATATCCAAAGGTTATGAAATTTTTTGACAACACTCAGATAACATATCTGTGCAACTACATAAAATCTTATATTCAAACTCAACTCACACGTTGAGATATAAAAAATTAAATTCAATGTATGATTAGTAGCGTAATGTTCACATCTGAATTATCTTTTCTTTTATTCGTGTTGTGTATATGGAAGTTGAACATAATTTTTGGTGGACTGATAGATCTCACTATACTCTACATTATTACTTTTTAAAAAAAAAAATTCATAACTATTTGTATCGAATTTGAAAGAGAAAAATATACGAGATAACATCCCTCAAAGATATTAGAATCCATTATAGGTTTCTCTGGGAACTCATGGAGGCCAGGCCACTCCGTTTTTCTAAATTTTCTCGATCTCGAATGTTCAATTTTTTATTGTTTATCCGATGCAGCAAGGACATCAAGATCTTTTGGAGTTCGCTCTACGCTTTGGCTTCTCTTGACAGATAAATTCATTTTTTTTTGGCAGGCGGCCATGGAATGTGAATGTAATCAACTGAACATAGTACTACATCATGCACTTTTGTCATTTTAATACGGCCACGTTAAGCACGCTTGGTCAAATCCTGGTACAGTGTGTTTGAGAGAAGTGATGGGGATTTGGTTGAAATGGAGGAGGATCGACCACTCACCGCGCCGAAGCAGAGGCCGGGGACGAGGCCGCGGGTGAAGAAGCCGTAGGCGAGGAGGGACATGGCCGGGACGGCGTTGGTGATGGCGAAGACGTCGTTGAGCTCGAACGGCCCGTCTCGCGGGCGGTGGTGCGACTCGTGCATGTGCCACAGCGACGCGTGCCACAGCGCCCGGTGCGCCCACCGCGCCCAGAACTCCATCCCCACCTGCGCAAAATGGCAAGGCAAAACCAACACGGTTACACGAGCGACGCGCGGCGTCGTGCGGACGGTGCGTGTGTGTGCGCTTACCGCGGCGCCCACCGATAGCGCGAAGGTGCCGAACATTTCCGTGACCGGGATCTCGCCGCTGCCCTGGTCGAGCACGCGGAGAAATTTTAGTGCTGCGGCGAAGGAATTGCCGAATTGGGTAATGGTAAGATGCGAGCGGGAGTTTGGCGATGGCGTGTTACCTACCTCCATTTGCCAGGCGAAGCGGTAGTAGACGGCGGCGGCGGCCATGGACGTGATCCCGAGGCTGGACATCACCGCTGCCACCAGGTACGTCCGCCGCTCCGACTGCTTCCGCGCCGCGCGCTCCGCCACCGCCCTCCGCGCATCCTCCTCCGGCTCCGGCTCACCCACCGCCACGCGCAAGGGGACGGCCAGCCGCCGCGCCGGGAGCGGCGCGAACGCCAGCCGCAGCAGCGCCGGGGGCGATCGGTGTGCCGCCGCCACCGCGGCGGGGGAGAGGAGAGGGGCCCGCGCGGCCACCAGCCTCGCGACGGCCATGGATGCCGCAGCCGCAGCCTACGCGAACGCGGACGCGGGGATGGATGGACGGTTTTGATTGGGCGGGTGAAGCGGTCCGCGTCCGCCTCGGGGAGCGAGAGGCGTCGTCCAAGACAAGTGGGTCGGATGGAGTCGCCGTCGTCACGAGTCAACTTGTGATTGTGAGCATGGAAATTCGTGAGGAACGCCGGCTCGGACCCGGTGGCTTTTATATAGGAGTATCAGGGGCCATGTGGAAACAGCGACTTATTCACGTTGACACTAATTTAGAGTATTAAATATAGATTAATTATAAAACCAATTATATAACCTTATACTAATTCACGAGACAAATCTTTTGAGCCTAATTATGTCATGATTTGACAATGTGATGCTACAGTAAATTTTTTATAATTATAGATTAATTAGACTTAAAAAATTCGTCTCACGAATTAGCTCTAATTTATGAAATTAGTTTTTTATTAGCATATTTTTAACACTCCAAATTAGTGTCCAAACATCCGATGTGACACGGACTAAAAAGTTTTTAGTCCCATCTAAACAGCCCCTCATTACTCCCTCTGTTTAAGATGGTATAAATTATAATACAATGTATCTGGATATACCTCTGTCTATATATGTTGTATTAGAATATGTCACATTCTATTTTAGGTTGTTTTTTTTTTCTGGAGGGAGTAGGCACGAATGCACGATGCGGATGCGAGCTGAGTCATGCATATTTTGGAATGGAATTATTCTCAGATCATCAGCAATTGGTGTATTGGAGATTAAGGTCTTTCCTGAAGCTGGGGTTATCTCGTTGCCGCTGGGTGATTGGCCAGGTTGAGGCCGCTTGCCTGAGCTACCGCGGCGTCAGGGGCAGTGGAAAATGACATTGCAGGTTCAGGGCACCTGATTCGCCACGTGGCCGTCTCAACGCATCCGCGCACGCAGCTTCTGGTCAGCTATACACCGCGCCGGCGAGCCGTCCTCCGCTGCGTCGCCATCACAACGAGTTACTCCTGACCCCTGATCTCAAGCGTCGGAGTTCACCTTTCGATTGAGCGCTCGATTCTGGTCTGACTTATAAAGGTGCGACATTTTTCATCATTTTCTTATCGGGAATTGGCTGTTTATTATATATCTAAATTCTTGAAAACTATTCAAAATCTCTTTCAGCATATACTTTCATCAAGTATCCAAACCTCAAAAATTCTGAGATTTACTATCGGTTTTCGTGAAAAAACGTAAACCCTAACTGAGATCTGTATGTAGTTCATGTTCTAGCTCATCATCGTTCTGCTCCATGCATGCCATGGCCAATGCTTGCTGGGCACAATAATTTTTACCACCACACTTCTTCTTTTAGGCATAGCTCCTTTCCTTTGTCGTTAAAAAATTGGAGAGGATAGAACATCTTTCTAAAGTACGAACTCCACCTGATCATGTTCGCTTATCCAGAATAGGAATGTGGCTGCCTGCCCTACGAACGCCGTAGGCCATGGAAGGGGTGTGTACGTGTCAGGGCAGCGTCCCGACGCGAGCGTTTGCCCGGCGAATGCTGCTGCTCGCCGCCCCACTACGTGGCCACTGGCATGTACCCACCGCACTTGCCGACGCCCACGCTTTCCTCCCGCTGCAGTCACGCTTCAGCAGCTCAGCACCTCCCACTCGTGAATTGGGCACCCCATGAAAAAGATGGAAAAAGAACCAAACCGCTTCAACCTCAACGATCTACTATTAGGGGTTTACAAAACCACACGATTAACACACGGTTATTACGATTACCATGCACGATAACCTTTGTAGTTTTTAAAACCACGGTATGTCTTACGGTTACCGCGCGGTAACCATCTTACCGCGGGAGTTCGGTAACCGTATTAAAAACGGTAAGGGGAACCCTACTACTTTTACTCAGAACCTTAGATGCTACTCAGATCACTATAACCACTGGGCTATATGACTATTTACGAAGCCCTACTACTATCCCCCTTGATTATACTCGCAAGAAGAGACATCTAGATCTTTTACCTTCGCCCTGGTGTAGTCAAGTCTCATCGTTTCGCTACCTGCTTACCTGGTGATCGGTGGTTCGGTACAAACACGACGGAATATACGAGTGCTCTCGTGGTGCCGATGGCGACGCGCGACGAGAGGCCACCTGACGGCGACGGGAGCCTCGCCGTAGTGGGGGCGGCCGCGCCGCGGTTGCTCGCGCTCGGCGACACGTACCCGACGGGGGATTTAGGATAACTGGTTTTCGGAGGTGGACGTGGTGGTCAAACGCGCGGTGAGTTTTTTAATTGGGGGAAACTTTTGGATGATTTGGATCTCCAAGCTGCCGTAACAGTGCCACCTATTCCATTTTCGCGGTAGCCTGATAGCGTGAAGTGTGAACCCTGAAATGGACGGATAATGGAATATGGCAATATCGCATACGGAGTATGCAAATGACCGAATGTGTGTGTGCGGGTCGTCGTCCACGTTTCTCACAGTCTCACCTGTCTACGACAGCAATCGACTACTACTCCTCCGTCTTTGATTTTAATATTTTGTTTGTACTATTTAATCATTTATTTTATTAAAAAAATTATACAAATATAAAAAATAAAAAATTGTGTTTAAAGTACTTTAGATAATAAAGTAAGTCACAAATAAAATAAATAATAATTCTAAATTTTTTTAAATGAGACGAATGATCAAAACAGTACAAGCAAGTTAAAATACGTTATATTAGAGGACGGAAGGAGTACTACGGATTGATTGATGGATCGGGATGGCTTTGAGGACAAATATCTTTGCTATCTGCTTAGCTGCAGTCGATCGAGCAGTTAACTAATTGGTTTCTACTCCATGGAGTAAAAGGAAAAGGAATGAAGCATCTATTGTTCTCTGAAAATTGACAACAGCTCATACCACTAAACACGCTAAGCATGTGCAAGAAAAATAAAAGAAGAGCGGCAAAACATATACTCTCTCCGTCTTAAAATATAACAACAATCAATCTTGTATGTTCAGATTTATTGTATTAGAATATATCCTATCCAGTACAAAGTTGCTATATTTTGAAAGAGATAGAGTAGCAGTACTAAAAGCGCTAAAGCATGTTTTTAGTAAAAGAAGAAGAAAAAAGCGACTCAAGTTCTCAAACTCATGCTTAACACGCTAAACATGTATAGTACCAACAGTACATGTTTTAGCGGCACCTTTGAAAAACTAGGGGCACCTTTGAAACGTATATAATATTAAAAAAAATAGATGAATAAAAAACACATAATTTTAACAGAATAAAAGTACGAAACAAAGTCCATTAACATAATTAATTGAGTATTAATTATTACAAAGCTTGAAAGATAACTTCATTTGACTTTTAAAGAAATTTCTATATAAAAAAGTTATTTTTAGAAAAATCATTTAGTCGTTTAGAAAACATGCTTATAGAAGACAAAGAGTTGTAATTGCTAAACGAAAAAATAAACGAGGCCGAAGTGAAGCTAAACAAGCTATGAAATTAAATAAAAGAACCAAACATGTACTAAGTAAAGCTAAACAATCTTTTTTGTTTGGCATGAAAGCTAAACAATCTAAAACATGTACTGCCAAGTAAAACAATATAGCAAAGCAAAAAAAAAAAGTAAAGCTAAACACGCTAAAAACATGAACTACCAAGTCAAAAAGCTAAACATGCACTAAGTAAAACAGGTACGAAGTAGAAGCACATTTCTTTTACCCATTCATAAAATAAATGTACTAAAAAAACCTGAACCACATGTGTTCGCTATTTAAGGTTCCCAACCAGAACCCTCCGTACGGAAAACGGAGCGATCCATTAGCGCGTGATTAATTAAGTATTAGCTATTTTTTTTTTTAAAAAAAAGATTAATTTGATTTTTTTAAAGAAACTTTTGTATAAAAACTTTTTCAAAAAACGCACCGTTTAACAGTTTAAAAAGCGTACGCGCGGAAAACGAGAGAGAGGGGTTGGAAAAGGGGTGTCCGAACACACCCTAAGTAGAAGCAACTAAACATGTACTAGCTGAGAAAAAAAAGTAGAAATAAACTAAACATGTATAAGTAAAATAATAAGCATGAAATTAATACACGTGCTAATAAGTATAAAAAAGAACAAGGTAACTAAACATGTACTAATTAAGTTAAAAAAGTACAAAGCAGCTAGACGTTGTACTACTAAATAAAATAACTAACAAACATGTAATCAATACATGTCCCAAGTAAAAAAAATGCAAAGCAACTACCCCTCTGTCAAAAAAAAAAAAAGGTCCAATTCTAAGGACAAATCTGGATTCTGAATACATGCAATCCAGATTTATCTCTAGAATTAATTTTTTTTGACAGAGCGATTAAACTTGTAGTAGAAAAATAAAATAAAACATGGGCCAACTAATACCACCTAAGTACTCCATCCGTCTCAAAATAAATATAGTTTTGCACTATTCATGTTCAATGTCTGTTCATCTTACTTGAATTTTTTATTAGTATTTTTATTATTATTAAATGATAAAATATGAATAGTACTTTATACGTGAGTCTTTTTTTTCATAATTTTTTCAAATAATACAGACAGACAAACGTTGGATACGAATATCCATGGCTACACTTATCTTGGAACGAATGCAGTATATACTAACTCCGCCCCGAACAAATATAAGTCTAGGTTGTTTAGCATGTATTAAGATTTGTGAAGAAAGATTATTATGCCTCGCATTAATAATAGGAAATAATTTTAATGATAAGTAAATGATGGGACAATTAAGAATATTTTATTATGACAAATGTTGTAAGAAAAATTAAATCATAGAAATATAATTATTATGAGATGGAGGTAGTAATACTAGGACAATACCAAACATGTAGCAAAAAAAGGTAAAAGTTGAATGGTTGTTAAGGGTAAAATAGAAAAAAAATTAAATGATAAGTAATTGATGAGACAATTAATAATACTATATTATGACAAATGTTGTGGGACAAATTTAAATTAAAAAATACTAGGACAAAACCATACTTAAAAAGTAGTGGGACAAATTTAAATATAAAAATACTAGGACAAAACCAGACTTGTTTAAAATATAAAAAATACTAGGACAAAACCATACTTAAAAAGTAGTGGGACAAATTTAAATATAAAAAATACTAGGACAAAACCATACTTAAAAAGTAGTGGGACAAATTTAAATATAAAAAATACTAGGACAAAACCAGACTTGTTTAAAAAAATTTATAAGTGTGGCTGCTGGGATTCGAGCCCAGGTCTCCACGGCCACAACGTGGAATTCTCACCACTAAACTACAGCCACTTTATTAAACAAGGTTAATTAGTCATCATATATTGAATAAAATATGGTTAAAGCACAAGAACAAACTTCCAGAGCATTTTTTGCACGCAGGGGCAGCCGGTAGCTAACCGTATCTGTTTGTTATTGATCGCAGGGCAAAATTTGCAGCTTGGCATGCTGAAACCGCGATATACATTTGTCGGGCAGATCTCAGTGTTACTCTAAGTCTGAATGATAATAGACATTCGCTTCTTCAGTAATTTTCCTCCACCCTCCCATTGTCATTGTCGTGTTCTTCAAGTTCAATCTGAATTCCAATTCTCAAGCACTGATCGTTCCATGACCCCATCGGTAGGCAAAGGAGCAACAATTTCTACAGATTTTCCTTTCCAGAAAGCGATCTATAGATTTCACCTTCAATCAGGAAGGATACTGGAAGGTAGCAATAAGTGAACCGAACGGCCCAAGACAATCCATCACAAGGATGGCCCATGTGAAAGAAAACCCACCCAACTGCAAATTACTAAGGCCCAGCCTGGGCAACCAATCACCGACCTTTCCAGAGCCCACCGTATAGCAACTCCGGGCCTATACGGCACGGCCCGTTATCGAGGCTCACCAACCCGAGCGGGAATCTCCAGGCAAAATCATCGGCTGCCTCAAAACCCCTGAGCCGTGCATCCTAGGGTTTCCCTCTCCTCCTCCCCTCTCTCCCCGTCCGGCAACGCAGCCTCACCGTTCAGGCGGCGGCGAAGGCCGCGTCGACCCCGCGCAGCGCAGGCGCCATGGCCGCCCCGGAGGCACCCTCCTGCTACGTTGGGATCGCGCGGCAGTCCGCCGCCTTCCGCCTCATGAAGCAAATGGTGCGTGATACTACCTAATTCAAAGTTTTCCTCATGCGTTGGGGCATGCAGTATGCTATTGCTAGACGTAGGTTTATGTTGGTTAACATCGGTTGATCCTGTCGGATATGGAGTCTGAAGGAGTTGCTGTTGTTGTTCCTGTTGAATTGTAACTAGCAACGTTTGTTAATGCTACGGAGTGGAATTTGGGAACTGCCGCAAACGAGTGAACTTGGCTTGGATTTTGGAAAGGAGTTGAAATTCACATTCTTCACGAGTTATGGCTGCACATAGATTGAATTTAGTGTAGTTAATATTTCTAATCGAACCAAATGAGTAACGTGAATGGAATGGTGGTTTGCACTCCATAAACAAGTTTATTTCGTCAGATTATACTGATTTTTCTGTAATTTAGATTTGTTCTCTTTTTACTGATTTTAAAGTGTAGTTAGCATTTTTTTTTTCATTATGCTTTAGGGGTGGGAAGAAGGTGAAGGCCTTGGTAAAGATAAGCAAGGCATTAAGGGGCATGTTAGAGTGAAAAACAAGCAGGACACTCTTGGTATGTTTCTATATAGATCTTCTACTTTAGAAGTCTATTTGTAAGGATATATATCCTTGTTAACCACCCGTGGGCTCTCTTAAACCTAATCTGATCGTTTCTGCAGGTGTTGGTGTAGACAGTCCTCATAACAAATGGGTATATGACACCACCCAATTTGACAATATACTAAAGAAACTGAAAGTGGTATGGCGTGTAACAATTACTTTGTTTGCTCTATGTATAAATTGGTCATTATTTCAGTTCCTAATTGTTTCCTATTATCTTTTTCTTGTCATTTGATCGTTGCTCCCATCTTCTTTGGCAGCAATCCGCTACTCCTGCTATAAAAGGTACCTGACGGTGTTTGTGCGTATAGTTCTTATTTTCATCTTGTTAGGTGTTGTTTGATAACATTTTTGGTGTAGCAGAATTTGAAGATGATGTAAGCAATTCACCAGATAGTACACCAAAGGAAGCTAAACCAACAAACAATGAAGTTACCAAAGTTACCCGACCCCAAGGAAGGTTGGTTTGCTCCCATAGCTTCAGTATTTGTATTTCTGTATCTATTTTTTCTTCTCTTTACAGTTTACGCAATACTTATTTCAGATATAAGAAAAGAGAGAGGGGGAAAAGTGTGAGCGGTTATTCAGCAAAAGATCTTGAAGGCATACTTGTGAGTTGTTATTCTTATGTGTGCCTATTTCTTTCTTAGCTAATCTAGTTACTATCCATGAGCAATTTTTTTCTTGTGCACCTGTGTAAACTGTGTAACTTACTTTATTACATGCATGAAATATTGTGTTTGCACAGGTTCGCAAAAGTGATGACAATTGCAAAGTGGACCAGGAAGTTGAACCAACATGCTGTGATGAACCTGATCCCATCATCTGTCAAGATACAGGTCTGTAATTTGCATGTTTAGTTTCCCCATCATTGCTTCTTGGTCTGAGCCAGGACTGAGGTGCCAAACTTTTAGAACTAGAATGTGTACACACTGCATACAAGTCACTGAACAGCTAAATGGTAAAGCTCTGCTGATTATACTCATATACTGTTAATTTTGGTTCTCTACTAGACGAGATCTACCATGTCAGCATCTAAGTTGCTAATTGCTTACCAGAGTAAAGCACATTTTATTTGCTCTCTAATCTTTCTCTCTTCACTAATGGTTTGAATTGTGACTACCTGATTGGTTGTACTGCACATGGTCTGATGCTTGGTTTGGATTGAAATGATTCTGATAAATTTGTTACTCTAAATATGTAATCTTCTTTTGAGACCATAGACTAATATCATTGAGATTTTACTAATAGTTCATGACAACTCTCTGTTCAGTATCGCAAGCTGATGATGTGAACTGGTGGGGGCATAAATTTGGATTCAAGTCAGGCGGCTTTCTAGGAGCAAAATCGCGCAAGAACAAATCTTCTGCTACAAAAGGTACTTCAAATGTCCGCCAGACATTTGGGGAAGAAGACCAAGAAAACCTATACAATCTTGTTCAGGTTGGTATTAACAGTCTATCAGATCTCCCATAATGTCCTATAACAAGACTGTCCATTTCTTAATGTGCTTTTAGAGACTTTTTAACCACATATAAGCAACTTGCCTTTGAATTCTATATTTTTCTTACAGTTTGGCCTGAAATTGCAAAGTCAATTTAGACCTCTGTTGATTGATTATCGAACAAATCTGATGTATTTAAAAACATATAGATATAGCTGAGTTCTCAATAATATCCATTCCATCTAAATGGTCTTTGTAACTGCTGCAGGACAAAGCCACATCTGGAAAGCAGGGTCTTGGCATTAAGGGTCTGCCAATTAAAGTTGCCGGACACCGTTGGAAAGGGAACAAAACTTCTTTTGGTGATAGCGATGAGGAAAATTCAACCCAATCCAATGAATTATCAGAGTTGGAAGAAGATGGTGATGAGGAAGAATCTGCTAACGATAATGAACTAATAGACGCCAATGTGAATACTGTGAAAGAAATGTGCGTGGATGTTAAACAAAAACATAAAACCAAGGTCAAGAAACTTTGCAAAACAATTCTTCGTCAGGTATGGTTGTTTAATTATCATACTCTCTGTATGTGGCTTCATGTGTTGTGCCGTAATCACAACGTTTATTTACTTGTATTATTCCCAGGCCCCAGCACAATCTATGAAATTGAAGGAACTTAAGGTAGCTGTTGAAGCACATTCAGAGTCTATGTTCTCCAACTTCTCTTGTAGGCGTGAAGCTCTATTGTTCTTAAAGAGGAAGGTACGGGTTTTCTTTTTCATTTGGCAGAGGCTTTGCGATCTTTCTCTCTTTCGTTATGGAGTAATTAGGGAGCACCTACTATAGAAGGTATGGTATGTAGTTGCATAAAGAAAAACAGATAGCAGATTTGGTTGCAATGTAACTTGTTGGGATCTTCACCATAGCCATTGTATCATCAGCGTGACCTCATTGAATTAGAACAGAAGCTCTATTGAGCTACATGTTGCTACTGGGCAGCGGTGTAATAGCCTTATTTAACCTTTTTCTGTCTATTTTGCAGCTCCAAGGAAGCAGAAAATTCAATATTGATGGCAAACGGGTTCAGCTTGTATCGTAAATTACGAAGCCGTTCGGGTGTGACATGAAGCCATTGTGGTCATATTAGGCTATTCGTGCTTCTGATGAGTGTACGAAAGTACGGAGCACAGTATGCTCTGCGGTATAGATGTAAGAAGTAATACCCCTCACGCATGGGGGGTCAAATTTTGCAAAACTTACGAACGGCTGAGATGCTAATTGTGTGTACACTGTTGAGCACATTTGATTTTCATCGTTCATTTCCCTACAGCAAATGTTTGGCAGCCGGTTCTGAATACCAATGCACGTCAATATTGTACCTTAGCTGGTGTATTAGCTGGTGTATCTTCAATTATTATACTTCTGTTTGGAGCGTGTGGTATATGATTGGAGCTAGTTTGTGCCAACGTTCAGAGGCGCTCTACTTTTAGAACATGTTTTTTGCACATTGATTTTGTTATTATCTGAAACCGGTGCCACCCCCTGATGATTTTGCCTGATTAATTCGTCATGCTAGTTAAAAATATATTTTATTTGTTAAAAAAAATATTGTTGTATTGATATTTAAATTTACTTTCATAAGGTTATAATATATGAGAAGTTAGAAGGAAAAAGATTAGTTTTGAAGACCGTATCAACTTTGATCGAGCTTTGTATTATATTATGGAATAGAGGGAGTAGTACTGTTTTAATTTCACCAGATAAGATATACACAAACCCTGGTGATTGTACATTTCTACTGACCTGCCACGTGGCACTTTACATTCGCATAGTCAGCTTCGTTCACAGCGGTAGGCGGCGGCCCGGCGTCTTGAGGCGATGCGCATTGGTCGGGGGAATTCGGGATAAGCAGCGAAGTCATTCATGGTCGCGCCAGCGACGCCGAGGCCGTCGCGGATCCTGCCGCGAGCGTCGCACTCCCACTCCCAGCCGGCCGCCGTCGGCCTCGCGTCCGACCGCGCCGCCGCCGCCACCGTCTCCTCCCGCCGCCGCCGCAACTTCGTCTTCGTCGTCAACCCCTCCGGTACTCCCCCCTCCTCCACCCCGCTACCCTTACCCCCTATCCTATGCGCGCTCTCAACGCCCTTCACGTCGTCGCAGGCGCCAATGGCCGCACGGGCAACCAGTGGAAGCAGCTGCTCCCGCACCTCCGCACCCGCTTCGCTGACCAATGCGATGTAAGACTTTCGATTTCTCTTAGATCCCTGGATCGTAGCATCCTGAACCGGAAGCTGCAATTGCTGTATGAGACCATATTTGGGATCAGATCCCCATGCTAATTTGGGGGCTCTACGGAATGTTCTGATTTGTTGGTATTGCGTGATCAGATTTGTGAGTGCATCACCTCGGCCCCGTTCGACGCCATAGATATCACGAGGGAGGTGTGTATGGGCTTCCTATAGCTGCCAGTATCCAATTGTTAATTTCCCCTTTTGGTTTTCTTGTTACAATGTGTGTATGATGATGATGATGTAGGCTGTAAAGGATGGGGCTGATGCCGTGATTGCTGTTGGTGGTGATGGAACACTTCATGAGGTATTATTTGTGTTGACTTTTGCAATATGGATACAACCTTTGTACTAAATTTGTCCAGAAACTTGATATTCAAATACGGTAATATTTGTGGATGGAATGTGCAGGTCGTCAATGGCTTCTTCTGTAAGGGAAGTCCTGTCCATGCTCTTGATCAAGGACCTGATCATTCCACAGCGCTTGGTGTGAGTGTACTTAGTTTCTAGCTATTCTATCCAATCAGATCACCCTTCTAGCCTCTTAAATTAAGCATTAGACTATTCTGAACTGAAATGTTTGTTTATGCACTGGAATTTGTTCGGTAGTGAAGCGGATTGTTTTTCTCTGACAGCTCATTCCACTTGGAACTGGTTCAGACTTTGCAAGGACATTTGGCTGGTATATTTCTCCAGCATAATCTACATATGGTGTTTAGATAACCTCTACTTTCACTGATGTTTCTTTCTTTTGTGCAACCAGGACAAATGATCCTCATGAGGCGATTGATCGAATTGTGAGAGGTTCCTTCTTTGATTCTTCTTTTATAGTGTGTGCTGTCAGTCCATACTCGTGGTCTCATAGTGGTCATTCATCTCCTGGTATATGTATATGAATGCACAGTAACATTATTAAAGTACCAGTTGTCATATGACTAGCCAGGTGATTGGGTTTGTCTTAAAAGATTTGAAATAAAGTTTTTGGAAGCATAACAATGAAATTGCTATTATAAACTGGCCATCTTCATGAAAATATACAAAAACTAGATTTATGTCTACTACGAATTCGCAATCATAACATATGAGGCTCACAGGTGCATATTTTTGCAGGAGTCAAATCAAAACTAGATATAGGTATGATGGAAGGCCCAGATGGAAACCCACATTATTTTGTTAATGTTGCTGATATCCATTTGTAAGTCAAGCATGGCTCATTTGACCTGTGAAATTCAATGGATGGTTTGAAAAGGAAAAAATTGCTCTGCACCTGCAGGAGTGCTAAGGCGGGTTATTTTTCTTCTATGTACAAGAGATTTGGCAACTTATGCTATGTTTTTGGAGCGCTCAGAGCCTTTTGGGGACATAGTAATCGAGATCTTAGAATAAAGGTTTGCATCGCACTGGTTTTAGAAGGAAGCTTAGTTGCAATCTTACTGATTTTTTTCGTCATTATCAGTCCCACACCTCTTGAATTTACTAGTGCATATAATAGGTAAATGGTGGAGAATGGAAAACCATTCGTAAAGTCACTGCACTATGCATAGGAAATGCCAAATACTTCGGCGGTGGTATGAAGATCACTCCAACAGCTGATCCTTTCGGGGGTGACCTTGAGGTGCCTAAAAAGTCATTTTTCTTTATAGTTTTGAGTAAGCATTAAGAAAAGTTAGCCTTTGTTAATTTATGTGTCATTTCATAGGTCGTTATTCTTCAAGATTTCAAATGGCATGATTTCCTGCTCAAGCTTCATAGATTGTATGGAGGAACTCATCTATCAGTGACTGGTGTGTCATCGATAAGGTAAGGGGACTCCGCTAATGAATCTTAGTGTTGCTCTACTTACTTTAAACAATGCTGAGTTAAGGGTTGTACTTCTGGTTGGTTTCATCCAATAACCCTTCAGTTGTTATTTGGCATATAGGTCAGATCTCCGGACAGATTAATCTTGTTAGCATCATCACTGGTAGTTTTGCAATGACATGATGGCAATCAAAATTGTTGAGGAATATTTATTCGAGCTCTATGCCTCTATTGCTTTCCTCCTGATATGTGTCTCATTAGTTCTAAAACAGGATTCAATGTTTGTTAAGCCTTCTCAAAATAGCTAACATCACTATTAGGCTGTTTAACTGGGTATTCTATTTGGGGTCACTAAGTGACAATATTTTTGTCGCAGAGTTCAGTCGATTGAAGTAGCAGAAAAGGAAGTTAGTGCTGACATCTTTGTGCAATCTGATGGGGAGCATTTTGGTTTTCTTCCAACCAAATTTTCAGTTCTTCCCGGTGCAGTTGATTTCTTCTGCTAGATTAGTATGCTTCTTCCTGTGGGATACAAAGGTTTCTTAATCCTTGTCAAGTCACTACGTGTACTTTGAACTAGCTGTGTTATTTTGAAGTGATATCGTAATTGAATAGTTACATTCATTTTCTGGCAATACATGGGATAAAATCTGTTGTCACCCGCCATGTAATGACTATAATTATATGCAACATTTGCTAATCAAACTACCATAAAAATTTGGTGGTGACGGTGCACTATGAACTGTTTGAATTATACTGGACCAAACTGGCATCAATGTAAATGACACAATGACTTTTAGGCTTGTACCCTGTGTAATTTATACTTTTGCCTTTTGCTCAACAACAGAAGGACATAGTTAGCTGCAGTTTCAATACAAAATTTATTTACCTTCAGCTTCCAACTTCGAAGTTACTATTCTTACTCATAGTACCTTATGAATCAGTCACACGATGTACTCCTATATGAGACTGATGCTGCTAGAATTCACCACCCAACGTTTTCTCAAGAGTAAATTGCACTTTACACTGGTAAAACGCACCTATTTTTGCTTTGTACTAATTTTAGCACATACTTTCAGTTTTTATCAGTTGTACTCCCTCCGTCTCAATAAAAAGTGCACTTAGTATTGGGTGTGACATTTTATAGAACACTTATATGAAATGTCACATCCGATCTTAGGTGCACTTATATTAGGACGGAGAGAATATTGAAATAAGTTTCACTTTATGTTAGGATACATCATCAAACCTATAGAAAATTCACTAACTTATATAAAATTTGAATAAAACTTTGTGAAACATGTTCTAAATTTGAATGGGTCCATAAATTCCACTTGTGTTTTATAAGATTTTCTTTCAATTATGTGCTGCAATCTAGAATAATATACCTGCATGGAAGTCAAAATATGTACTAAAGCTGGTGCAAAGCCAAACAAAGATATGCTCTACCCAATGCTATGTAATTCCTCCGTCCCAAAATGTAAAGAGTTTTGGTTGAATGAGACATGTCATAATACTACGAATCTTAACAGTAGTCTTACGGATTAGGATGTGTCTCATCCAACTAAAACTTCTTGTATTTTGGGATTGAAGGAGTACAATATACTCTTCTCTTAATTTGTTTGGTTCATCTATTATTTTTTAATGGGTATAGTATTTTGTTAGGGGGAGTACTAATCAATTACACGGCCGTACCTGTGATTATGAAGTCGATTTAAAATTTCTTTCTTGTGAAGTGATTCTCAAGCAGAGTATTTGCTGTTTGTTCCTTCCATACGTAAGGAATAATTTCTGTTGCTTGAAAATTTAAATGGCCATTGAGATACTCCTAGAAAGTACCCTGTCCCCTGATGCTGCGGCACCAGACTTTAACCCTGTCTATGACTTGACTTTATTCTCATAATCTGCCATGTTCTCCTGTAGCCCTGTCGCTTGACCATGACGACGTCATACTTATACGTTCTGACCTTGTAAAACTTGTACTCCCTCCGTCAAAAAAAAAAAAAAGACAAACCCTGGGTTTCCGTGTCCAACTTTGACTGTCCGTCTTACATGAAATTTTTTATAATTCGTATTTTCATTGTTGTTAGATGATAAAACATGATTAATATTTTATGTGTGACTTGTCTTTTTAATTTTTTTCATAATTTCTTTCAAATAAAACGGACGGTCAAACGTTGAACACGGAAACCAGGGTTTTTCTTTTTTTGGGACGGAGGTAGTACTTCCTCCGTCCCAAAATAAGTACAGCCATGGTTTTCCGCGCCCAACTTTGACCGTTCGTCTTATCTGAAAATTTTTTGAAAAAATTTGAAAACATAAGCCACGAGTAAAGTACTATTCTTGTTTTATCATCTCATAACAACAAAAATGCTAATTATAAAAAAAATTAAATAAGACGAACGATCAAAGTTGGTCGCGAGACGAAGGTAGTACTACTTACAGCAGCTTTGGTCATGAACAGCGTGAAAAGAAAGTGTGTTCCTTCTCCGCTGCCGCCTGGGCAAAGAAGACGAAAATAATGGTAGAAACTGGAAAAAGGAAGGAAGGCTTGTCCAAAGCATAATCCAATAATCCTACGTCGTGACAGGTACGGTATCCGTTTTTTCCCCGTACGTCCTTCCCATGTGATGCGTCAACAGTTAAAAAATTGCCCTCTTTTGCTCGGCTCATCCGCGCGCCGCGCGCGTCTCGGCCAACATTGGCAAACACGCGACGCAGCCACCGTTCCGTCCCCGCATCCTCCTGCGTCTCCTCGTGCTCGTGCGGCTCTCGCGCTCGCTGCGCGCCTGCGCCGAATCGAGCGAACGCCGCAGCCGCAGGTTGCAGCGCGCGCGCGCACGTCGTGTGCCCGTGGCTGCGTGCCGCGAGTCGCGACGCCATGCTAAAAAGAAAAAAAATATCACCGGACGCATCGCGTCGTATCGGGCGGAGCACACGAGTCATGGACCTGTACGACGTTGTGGGGGCGTGAGTTTTACTCGTCCTCATGTCATGTCGTCCGCGAGAAGCAAAAGGAATTTACGCACGCGCTCGTGGGTCGGGTCGTGGAACGTGAACGGCTTGTACGTCGGGGTATATGGGGACAAAATGGCCTTCTGTTGCGTTGCTACACCCCGTGGTTGGCGTTGCACGTAAGGCATCCGATCGAGCAGCCGGAGCGAGCCGGGGTCCGGGGGTCTGATTGTGTGAACGAATCAGTGATCGCCTGAATGGTGATCGGAGCATATATGCTTTGGCTGGCCCGGCGTGATGATTACTGCGTAGCACAGTAGCAGGACGCACTGGAACAGTACTAGTAAGAAGGCCATGATTATTATCGTGATTAGAGTACACAGCCTCGTAATTGCACATACGCAACGGAGGCGCTGCCAGGTGTCGTGTACCATTCTTTTGGTATTAGACTTGCCATGACTATCGTGTGAATGCCTGAATGGCAATTCCGAGCCGTAGCTTGCGTACATCTTAAAGAAACCCACTCATCGCGATGACGCTATCAGCCACATGAACATCACCAGCCAGACTGTATCCTCAGGGAGCCCGGCCGCCAATTGAGAAAATCTGCAAATGGGTACGACTGCTAATTACTACTATGATTTAATAACACAATAGTAGAACAGTGTGAAGGTGATACTACCAAATATTCGAAGCCTTCTCTCTCTATCTCTCCACGAGTCCATGTCAAATGGAGAAGGAAAAGGGTGGAGCTCTTTTTTGCTTGGCCCTGCATGCGTCTGCGTCAGAGCGCGCACGACCAGCACACACACCCCCACATTCCGTTGGTGCAGTGCAGTGCGGTGCGCGCGGCTCAACTTTGAAAGCGGACGGCCGACTGACTGACGGCTCGACGTCGCCGTGCCGCCGAGCTGTCACGCAGCTAGCTGACAGCCAATGCTAATCTTGGAAGCGCACGTCACCTAACTCCTCTCCAGAATCCAAATCACAAGGGGCCCCGGCACACACAAGTTTGCAACGAGGTGGTGGTCCTCACTCCTGACCGTCTGTCCTAGTAATGCAAGGGGAAATTATCCTCTGATTGTTGATTTGTCTCCACATATTAGGCCCCGTTTAGTTCCCAAAATTTTTTCCCAAAAACATCGCATCGAATCTTTGGACATATACATAAGCATTAAATATATATAAAAAGAAAAACTAATTGCACAGTTATGGAGGAAATCGCGAGACGAATCTTTTAAGCCTAATTAGTCCGTGATTAGCCATAAGTGCTACAGTAACCACATGTGCTAATGACGGCTTAATTAGTCTCAAGAGATTCGTCTCGCGGTTTCCAGGCGAGTTCTGAAATTAGTTTTTTCATTCGTATCCGAAAACCCCTTCCGACATCCGGTCAAATGTTCCATGTAACACCCAAAAATTCTCTTTTCCCTAACTACACATACCCTTGGGAGTGTTCGTTAGGTGGAGATAGGAGAGATTGTCTATCGTTTTCCGCGCGCACGCTTTTCAAACTACTAAACGGTGCGTTTTTTGCAAAAAATTTCAATAGGAAAGTTGCTTTAAAAAATCATATTAATCCATTTTTGAAATTTAAAATAGTTAATACTCAATTAATCATGAGCTAATGGCTTACCTCGTTTTGCGTATCTTCCCAATCTCCTCAATCCCCTTCTCTTCAAACACTCCCTAGTCACTTTCGGATACTAAGGAAGAGCTACGGCTTGAACAAAACGCATAATTTCCAGTCTTATCCTCTATTCAACTCCTCATTGTATTAATTGCTGCTCCCTTCGTTTGAAGTTAAAATAATTATAGCTATATATTATTCAGATAAAAATAACTATATTTTAGAATATTTTAGAACAGAGAAAGTAGAAAGGAGCTCTCACGTTTGGCCATACCATCTAGTAACTATGTCAACCAATAGATCATACTTCCTCCGTATTAGCCATTAAACTGATGAGTATCGGTAAAGAAGTTATAAAATCTCATTACAATGCGTGGGATGCGCGATATAGTCATTACTATATTTTAACTCAGTGTTGTGGAAGATTAAGGGCGGTTGCGCAATTGTCATGTATCTCGTGTACTGTCAATCATAAGTTTCAATTCATCTATACCCCTTTAAAAGTCTTTAATATTGGTTGCAAAGAATTTGCCCTCTTACCATTGCTTTTGTAGTTTTTAGAAATTGCATCATTATGTTTTTCATGACAATTGCTCTATCCATATTTGAATATATGAGATTATTCGGTTATATCTTTGAAAATTTAACCGTCAATAGCTCTAAAAACAGTTAGTTTGAAACACATAACAATCATATGGGAACATTTTTATTTATATGTAGTTTTACAATATAATAATTTTGTTACTTCCTCAATCCCAAAATATAGCTATCTATTACTCCAGGAGTACAACTATAGATCAGGACAACTTGGTAGCTATGAGCCCCATTGGTTGTCCTAATAAATCAAAACCAAAGCCAGAACTTGAATTTTTAAGTTGAATTTAAGATATTTTCAATGTAGTTTTTTATATTGGGTTTTAAGTCGCTAATAACACATATATAAAAGTGTTACCTATAAATTAACTTTCATTCTCTAATAAGTTGTTTTTGGCTTATTATGATATATGTGCAATCGATGAGGTCTTATATTTTGGGACGGAGTATTTAAATAGAAAACAATAGGTCAAATAAGTCTCAGTAACACCTGAGATCCTGGGTTCGATTCCCCACGGGAATGAATTTTTCAGGATTTAACGGTATTGTGCTTTCAGTGGTAGGCGACGTACCTGTCGACAGCGAGACGCCTGTGGTGACTTCGTCAATCCTAATGGATTTGCC